GCCAAAAATGAAAAGACCAGTTATGCTGTGTTGCAGCAATCCATTATTAAGTGGGAAAGGCTCATATGTTTCGTTACTGGTCCAACTACCTGCGCTGATTTGCAATTGAAAACAATAATAATAATAACAACAACACTCACACCCATGCTAATGGTTTATATGAAAGCAAAATCACGAGGAAAACTCATAAAATGTAAGCTTAAACAGTTGTAGCAATTGTTCTTATCCTGCTGTTAACTTTAGAGTTTTGGATCTTAAACCAAGTTATAAAACATGGATGTTTACTCGAATTGCTAAGTGTGCTGGGCTCCTCTCAGGTGGTGTTGCATTCGTGCAGTTTAAACACCTCAATATTTGATTCAAAAGCTAAGCCTGTGGCTATTTCTGCATAGCCCTAGTGGAAAATTATGAATTGCATAGTTTAATCAAAGGGATAAATGTGTAGGGAAGCCATAGTAAGCACAGGGCGCAGATTGCTTTGGAAAAGAAAACATTTTGAGTAAAAATTGAGCTCCGAACAGCTGGGTTTACTGAAGTTTCACTTGAGCAAGAAATGGGCTTTGTCTTCCAGTTAGCACAACTGGGTCAACACATGGCCATTTACACTGGAGAAAGACATTGGCACATACCAGATCAGGGAATCCATAGATGGGAATAAGAATATAAATATTGTGTAACAAATAATGATCGGTTTAATGGTAATTCATGTAAAATGAAATCCAGTCATTCCTCCGAGTTACACCCTTAGCAACTGAACTTTAGTTAGCCAGAATTGATAGTTTATGTATAGAAAATATATTCCAGCTCAGCAGTAACTTCATAAATAATGAGACCAAAGCTTACAAGGTTCTATTGACTTTATTTGATCATGGGGACATCATTGTCATAAAATATTTGTAAGGATTTTTGGGGGAATAAAGAAAATTTATGAAAACAACCTAGTAAATTCCAAGCTGGAAAATACAGATCTGGCTCTGAGTGACTTTGGTTTGGCAGTATTGCCGATATGTAATGATGCTTCAATGTACTTTTTAAAACTTGACCGGTATAAAAATATTAAATGTGGGAATACTGGAACACAGAATTTTGTCATGGATGTATGTCAGGACTGATGATTTATTGCAATGATGTACTGAATCTGTGGCAAAACTGCAAGACAAAACTGATGCATTGAAGGAGCGGTTGGAGGTTGAGAAATGAAACGACAGACTAACTTTCTGAACAGTGACTTGTCGAGTGTTGCCTCTTAGCCCATCTAGATACTCCAGCAACTGAGCAAAGTACTTATCGGGGACCTTGTCACAATCGTACATGTTCTGTAGAGGCAGGCCTGTCTCGTCTTTTGAAACTTCCTCCTCGTGCCACCTGGTCAGATACTCCAGCACAAGGTCTCCTTCTCTTTGCTAACCCTTCAACTTCTCCCCGCAACTTATTTTCTTCCCTTTTCCTCTCTCTCTTCTGCTTCCTTTTGATTCGTCTCTTTTCTTCAGGAGTAAGTTCCTCTTTGTCCTGGTGATCTCTGTCTGTTGTCCTTAGATCAGGTGGATCTCAATTTAATTTTACAATTGCAGCCACTTGCTAACAATTGAAATGGTTGGGTTGCCAGACACTATTCCGTGTTCTTGAACATGTGGGGAATGCGTGAAAGTTCAAACCATGAACTCACCCAGTATGTGAAATGTGTGTTGCACTTCTTTTCTCTAGGTGAAGTTTAGTGATGGCAAATGCAGATGAGGTCCTAATTTTCCTATAATCTGGAACCATTTGCAATGACTTCTTAAAGTTCAGTGAAGAAACAAAATGCTATATGAGCTGTAAAATAGAACTCTGCTGCTTCAGCTCTCTTCACACATCACATTTGGTGAGGCAGAGGAACTTGCGTTACAATCCCTCATTTGGTACCTGTGTAAACTGAGCCAGTAGTTTGTCAGCAGTTGTTTCATTGTATTCGGTTTCAATAAGCTGTAAAACATTGAAAGTATCCGAGTTGGCAGAATGTGAATTGGCAGAATTTACCAAAAGCTGTCCATTATTATGCTGTTCCACTGGATTTTATATTGTCAATTCAAAACTATGAGGTTACTTAGCAAGTAGCTTCAAATAAAAAAAAGTTGCTGATCAGTCCCAAAAAATGCTGCTAAAAATTTGTTGGAACACTGAATAGTGTGCTTGGCAACCCAACAATTTCAGTTGTTAGCCACTGTAAAATTAAATTGAGGTCCACGTGACCTGAGGACAGCAGACGGGACCTTGATTTAATGACTTAACATCTTATCCAAAGGACCACATCACTGACAGTGAAGCATTCCCCCCTCCCCCTGCCCCGTCATGAACTGCAGTTTCAGCCAAGATTATCAGCACAAGACCCAATATCTGGCATAAACACAGAGGTGAAAGTGTTACCAACTGAGCTAAGATAGCATATTATCATTAGCATTAAATATTCTTCATGACTAGAGTTCAGATATCTTTGATCTTTTAATACTTCAACCTGTAAGTGGTTCACCCAAGTGAGCACACAAATGGTGCATTTATTTGGAAGTCCTTTTGGTATGTGAAATGGAAAATGGTGCTTTGCATCATGGATGTGTTCTGTTGTCTATAAGGTTTGTTGCATCATTTATGGAGGAGTATTTAATAGGGAATTAGATAGGCATGTGGAAAAAGAGCAAGAAATTGGGTTTTAGGATCAGTGGCTTTATTGGACGAACAAGCACGTCCAGTAATGTATCAAGTCATGATGGCTTTTATTTTCACTTTTTAAAATTGCTTACATTTTTTTTCCTGCTCCTTGTGTCCATCAACGTGTATTGCTACTACTCTGAGTAACAATACTTAAGCAGAGGCTTTGTGAATATAGAATAATATACAGTGGAGTAGAGCTAAGTCCGATCCAAGCTTAGAATTCCAGCGCACCATTACCATTCATACAGAAAATTCCTGATCAAAGCACACAATAACTTGGTAGATTAGTTATTCAGTTGTCAGGATTCCACTTCACTGGAAAGCAAATCAACCCTTTCAATGCAATGTGCGTTGCTAGGTTTTCGGGCCACAAGAATGGTTCAGTCACTGACCCTCAAGACTGTTTTGCTCTGTTCAGTATCCATTGGCAGGCTGCCTGTTGAAACCCTGTGCTTCATTGTGGTAGGAAGCGGAAGCGTGAAGGGCTCTCAGAATTCACATTGCTGGCTGGAGTGAAACCTGGCCAGTTGCCAGCCTCATACTTGGTGCCTTATGTTCGGTTTCGGCTAGATTATTGTCCGATAAGAAATTTAAGGAATGTGTCTTCTCACCTTCAGAGTCAAAATACAGAAGCACTGTTGATTCCAGCACAACAGCACCCAAGATAATAGCCTCGTGATTGTCAAAGGGTGGATGAGATATACCAATTACCTTGCTACAATACACCTGCTGAAACACCCAGCAGAATTGTCTCTCTAACTCACATAAATCCATTATCTCTTAAACTGCCAGAGGTGTAGCAACCACTAGCCTGCACTAGCAATAAACTATTTAAAGGATTTAGATTCTATGCTACTCCTTCAATGTGACATTAAACTAGCGGTTTAGTGAAATCAACAATGCTTATGCAATTGATGACCTTTCACATTGTGCAGTATTTATTTAAATTTAAAAGGGCACGTATTTTCATTATTTATAAATGTAATGAATATTTTTCATCATTATATTGGGTTGGTGTTTGTGGCTATGTGTACGTACGCCCAACATAAAAATGCTAACAAAGATGAAATGCTGCTTGAAAAGCTCTGCAATGTTGTGGAATTATTGGTACTGAAATATGGATCCAATTTAAAGTTTTTCCTCTTTTTTAAAAAGGTGCAATTTGAGTTGGTATTTACATTTTTTTTAAAAATTGTTATTGCAATACTGGAATATAAGNTTTTTTTACATGTGTAAAGTTTCTATCCTAGAATTTATTTCCCCTTTAAGCACTTCGTCATATTCAATTGAGCACAATTGCTGCAGTCAGTTTTCTGCCTGTAGAAACATAGCACTTTGTGACTTGAGGCACCAGCTTGAATCGTTCTGGGAGGTGACTTCCACCATTGCAAACAATAGAAGGTTTGATTTGTGACTTTTTGCCTGAAGAAACATTCATTTCATCATAATGGTGGGCCAGATATTTAAACAAAATGTGCTGCGTAACTGACTAGGACATTACTGGGAGAATATTTTTCACAGTGAACTGAGCTGGGATGTGTCCAGCTATGTGGCTCTACTTTAATAAACATCTGGGTGCATCCCAGCTGTACATGTTGTGCTTAAAAGTATTTGATCGCTTAATTAGTTGGTCCCTTAATATAGAGCACAGATGCACCTTGAAGTCTGTCTGTTAACCTTTTAATATGTATCCTCGCAAACCATTCTCTGGTTCTGGCAACAAAACTGGAATAGAAAAGTGTATATGGGGGCATGCTGCCCTCTGTCAATAGAAGTTAGCATTGCAGGTCCTTTTAACTCGATGAAGATAAGCAATTTCAAGTATTGTCTGTGTTAATATTTTAACATTATTGAAAACATTCATATGTCTTGCATCAAAGAGAATTTTGATATGCTTAAAAATGCAATTATTTGTTAAAAGTATTTTTCACTGCAGTAGAAAATTAGTTATCGGCTCACCAATTATCCACATGACTGTTTATCTACATTCTTCGGATGAGACATTAAACCAACTGTCTGCATGTTCAGATGAACGTTATTGGCACTATTTGAAAAAAGAAGAGAGTTTTCTCAGGGTCCTGGCCAACAATCCATTTCACTCCATTTCACAGTAAGGAGAAGAGAAGCAAATGGAGCAGATTAATAATTGCATCAGTAAGATTAAAAATGTTTTGTGCATGATCTTTCTTTAAAACTCATGACATATGGAATGTAGATTGAATTCATAATCTAGTATAATATCAATATATTTAATGTGTGGAAATGAAATGATTTACAAGACTGTACTTCGACTTACACAGTTTAACTTTTTCTAGTTTTGTTACTTGAGAAGATTGAAAATGACGACATTGCTAACAAAACTTTGAAGATCACAGACTTTGGCTTAGCAAGGGAGTGGCATAAAACAACCAAAATGAGTGCAGCAGGAACCTATGCTTGGATGGCTCCAGAGGTTATCAAGTCGTCCTTGTTTTCCAAAGGCAGTGATGTTTGGAGGTAGGCATGACTTTGAACTATTTGCTAATCCAGAGCCATGGATAATGTTTACTATAATCCTGGTGTGTTATTTAGGAAGCTAATTTTTGGGGATAGTCATTTTGGTTATTGCAGTGCATTTCTTTTTCTGCTTTTCAACTAAAAGTGTAAAACCTACTTTTATTGCATGTGTTACTACTAACGGTACTAGAGCCAGGGATTCTTCCCACTCAGCTCCTATTAACAAAGCCCAAATAGGTAGGGGTGGTCCTAGCTGGACCAGCAATGGAAAGCTTGCCAGACAATGCTCTGAATGACAAGCTATGTGGTTTTAGCTGTTTAGACTCCAGTAGTACTGACACACATTCTGGGTTCCCCAAGTCTTGGGTCTTGCCAACCTGCACCTACAACTCTCCAGAATTAGGAAGCAGCATTCCCTCCAGGGAGAGAGTGCGCATTCCATCCCAACAAATATCACTGGAATTTCCATGTATAAGTAAGATGTACAGAACTCTGTTTGGCTTGGATACTTTTAAGCATGGTGATGGGTTTCCACATGTGTCAGACACCAGCTGATCAAAAAAAAGACTGGGAGTAATTTTGTCTTGTTTGTGCTTATAATATTACACATTGGTTGGCTGAGTCAAGTCAGAAGATAGGTTGATAATCAAACTAAATTATTGAAACAACTAAAGGAAGACTTTGTGCATAATGAAAGGTGGAACCAAGTTTGATCTTACAACTTGCTGCTTTTACTCTCTTTGTATTCAGCTATGGAGTGCTGTTGTGGGAGCTGTTGACAGGAGAAGTTCCTTATCGTGGGATCGATGGTCTTGCAGTCGCATATGGAGTTGCTGTGAATAAATTAACGCTTCCTATTCCATCGACGTGTCCTGAACCGTTCACCAAACTAATGGAAGGTAAGCGGGTCCTTTCCTTAACCCTTTTAAGTGATTTGTTTTGTGCTTACTAAGATGAGGAATGTTGATGCTGAGAAATGGGATACTTTCTCATTGTAATACAGCATCAACATCACTCCCAGATCCTCTCTAATGTGAAATATTTCCTTATTTAGTTTCTGTGAGTAATACCGGGGGAGTGCTGCATTGTCAGAAGAACCATCCTTTGGATAAGATGTTAGATTGATGTCCAATTTGCCTTTTCAGGTGGTTGTTAAAGATCCCATGATAAAACCAGAGACATTTAAAACACAGAAGGCCATTCAGCTCATCATGTCTTTACTGACTCTTTGAAAAATTAATCCTTTCATCCCTATTTACCTGCTTTTTCTCCATCGCCCCCATCAAATTATTCCTTTTCAGATATCTATCTCGTTCCCTTCTGAAAGCTAATGTGGATCTTGCCTTGACCACCACATCTAGCAGAGCATTCCACATCCATAAACACGCTTATAACAATGGTATGGAAATACATCTGCTGGAGGGAGTAGTTGAAGAAAAAATTACATTCCTTTTGATTGGTTTCAGGTGCCAGCAGCACAGGACCAGTCTGGAAACAAAATGACTGATACCTGACCTCAGCCACATTAGCAGAAGTCACTAGTTGACATCAATTTTTGGATGAAATGTTAAAACCAGGTCTCATCTGCTGTTAAAGATTCCATCGCATAATTTAAAAAAGGAGATGCTCGCAGTCCTCTGGCCAACAATTCTCTCAATTTTTCATTCACCTACTGAATATTCATTAAATCTTGCTTGCATAAATGAATTGTATTTGTTTATAAAAGCAGTCGTTACTTGACGGTAATTATGTGTGAAGCACTTTAATGTTGTGACATGATGAGGTGCAATAAAAAAAATCTTTGCACTACTTCATTATGGTTGAGTGAGAGTTGAAAAGTTCAAATTTAGGTTATCTGTTATTAACCTCAGCTAAATGTATTCAGTGTCAGAAATTAATATTTGAATGCAACATACCTATAGTCATATAATTTTCATGTTCTGAATCTTAATGTAAAAGCCTTCTTATTTCAACTGTAGCAATTTAACAGATTTGCTTCTTGATGTTTTTGTTGACCTGGGTAGGAAAAAAAAATCTTCAGATAATGTTCTTACAGTTTTGCAACATCAAAGACTTCCTTCTTCCATTGTAAATGCATTGAAAGGCAAATTGGTTTATTGCACTCGGCAATAGAATTGATTCTATTGCTGGTTAAAATAATCCAGATGGATTACTTTGAAGATTTTGAAGAATAGAAGTGCAGATGAAAGATAGTTTAAAACTTGTAATGATTGCTGTTTAAATTCCAGCAAGTACTTTTAATCATTAGCCACAAAAATGGTCTTATAAAAATCAAACTTGATTTTGCATAGTCAAAACATCAATATTACACTCTTATGGATTGGAAATGATATATGTTGAGTTCTGATGAAGGATCATGCTTGAAAGGATCATTATAAGGGCTAGTATGGCTCACTTGGCAGAGCTCTTACCTCTGGGGCAGAAGGCTGTGAGTTCAAGCCCCACATCACGACTTGAGCTCATAGCCATTGTTGGAGAATCAGAACTTCATATGAAATGTTAAACTGAGGTCCTACCTGGGGAGGAGTCCAATAAGTATGTGATAGAGGAAAAGATACGTTTCTATGAGCACTCCAAATAACTCATCCAAATGCAAGCGGCATAGATTAGTATCTCTTTCCCTGAAGCTATAGTAGGAACTTCTATAAACACACAGCTCAAATTTTCTTCACTATCTCAAACCACTGTTTACATAAAAGCTCGGGTATTTTACAGAATGAGCAGCATGATTATACTTGGGCTTACTGGATAGCCCTTGAAAGAAAACTAAAATCTGTATAATTGCAATAATAAAATTCTCATGTACTTTTGTTAGTGTACAGTTATTTTGTGTTGAAATTTTACCTACCTAATGAGTACCAAGGTTTCGGACTAAAATCACCATGCATGTTTCAGAGTGCTGGGATCAGGATCCTCACCTTCGTCCGACTTTCGCTACCATTTTGGAGCAACTCACTGCTATTGAGGAAACGGTCATGATCGATATGCCCCAAGAGTCCTTTCACTCCATGCAAGATGATTGGAAGATGGAAATACAGCAGATGTTCAATGAGCTCAGGACAAAAGAAAAAGTAAGTTGATTTGCTTAATTGAATAACCTGATTTAGGTTTTAGAGATTTAAATTTGCAAGTTTGCCTTGGCAGCAATGTCTTGATTCATTCTGTATCCAGTTGCTGTGCTCGTACTTCCCCCAGACAGATTAAGTATTATTGATTTTATTAGTTAAAGGTAAGAATAAAAGGTTGGTTATGATGAATCTTGTATAGTTCATTAAACTGAAATCTATAAGGCTTGTAATATTACAAGGTTTGGGATCCTGCACTTCTTCAATTTTGACATCTCAGCAACACTAATACCCTTGGTTCAGATTGTGAAACACTGCTTACTTTGAGTCAGTGGATTGGGAGGATTCTGAGCCAAGGGTATTATGTTTTCAAAGCAACTGTGATGTTGATTTTTTTATTTATACTCCTTTCCTTAGGAGTAAAATAAAGGGATTCACGAGAGAAAGCTCCTTTAAGCTACACCTGTTGTCTGCAGTCTTCTCCTTCCCAAGTTTTATAAATGGCACTCTCCCATTTCCGATGTGTACAACGCCTAACATCCAACCGCAAAATTGATTTTTATGAAATTGATTTAGCATGGTATTCTCCAAATACCAAATTTTAGAATAAGGCGGTTGACACCAGAAGACTTTAAGAAACAAGATCACCAATAGATTTACCCATAATCAATTCATTTTACATTATATTCTGTGAAACGCTTTAGACGTCTCAATGATGTGATAAGGCCCTATATCAAACACAAGGATGATTATTATTATTATTATTATTGGGATGGGAAAATGCCCATCAGCCCATTTGATTTCAGTCTTCCAGAATACCCACCCTACAATCTTCCCATAGCAGCAGCAAGCAATTTCTTAAAGGAATACTCTCATGCCAATGTTCTGAAACCTCAACCCAACCGCGATGGAGTCAAATTAAAAGTGTTTATGCCATCTAATAAATATTCCTGGTGTGCGTCCTGAAATTGCCCTGCATAACCTTGAGCCCTCTTGCCTTGCTGGCTTGGCATATTTGAAACTATGATTCAACTTCTGAATCTCATTTAGTATATACCTCTATGAGTCTGGAATGTATTGCCTGAAACTGTGGTGGAAGCCGATTCGATAACAACATTTAAGAGAGAAGTAGATAATTATTTGGGAAGGACAAGTTTGCAGGACCATGGGGAGGTGGGGGGGGGGGTGGGTTGGGATTGAATTGGATAGCTCTTTTCAAAGAGCCTGCAAAGACACGATGGGCCGAATGGCCCTTTCTGTGCTGTATAATTCTATGAGACCTTCTGTGAGACTTTTTTGAAGGCTGAAGAACACAGTAGAATATGTTTTCTTGAATGATATCAAAAAAAGGACCTCTTCATTCGAACCTCTCTCGTAATAACTAATATGGATGCAATTTAATGAAGTTGTGGTTGAAAATGAACCCAAGGCAGCATTCACATCTGTAAAAATATTAAGTGCTGCCAATGACTTGTACTTAGGCATTGGAATATCACTCTTTAAGACTGTTTTGGACTTTCCAGACTTTTCAGCATTATCCTGTTTAATTCACAGGAGTTGCGATCACGGGAAGAGGAGCTTACAAGAGCAGTGTTGCAGCAGAAGTCGCAGGAGGAGTTACTGAAGCGTAGGGAGCAGCAGCTGGCAGAACGAGAGATTGATGTCTTGGAACGTGAGCTAAACATTCTCATCTTTCAGCTAAACCAAGAGAAGCCAAAAGTGAAGAAACGGAAAGGCAAATTCAAGCGAAGTCGACTAAAGTTAAAAGATGGGAACCGAATCAGCTTACCTTCAGGTAAGACTTAGCAAGTAGGAGAAATGTACATCATGGACTAAACTGACATTTCAATATGTGTAGATATGCAATAAACATTTGATGCCTGCTGATGAATTTGCTGTTTTGTTCTGCCTCTGTCCATGCAGAGCTCCTGAGGGATTTTTCTCAGTACAAAACTTGCATAAGATGCAGATGAAATTTAACTCCCACTATAGTATGGAGGAAACCCTAATTTGAAGAATACTTGTAACAAACGTATAAAGGAGAACTAAACCTCCCGATGATAAATGGTAAAGGTTGCGTGCTCATGTTTTAACAAATGTCATTCAGAACTAAATTGTCCTTGTGCTCCAAAAACAGTTCTGGAGGATAGGAGATGTGAGTTGTTGAGCAGTTGTTTCTCAGTGGCTCTGTGTTTATCTTTGTTAATATTCATAGTACAGTAAAGTGTTGTTTCACTTTTGTAATCTTGACACCTGGCCTGGTTGCACTAACTATGGAAACTGATTCCATTGTAATGGAGAGACGATTATTTAAATTGAAACTGATTCAGAACCCCTTCTTTTAAAGGATTTTGTACTTTCCCTTCTAATCTCTAATCGAGATGCGAACCACTTCACAGGTTTCTCAACGAATTTATACTGGTTACTGAGAATTGTACACGAGCAGCCCAGAAATGTGTTCTCTTCTTTCAGTGGGATAAAAGCTGCAAGGCTCAATTTGACATATATCTATAGTAGTACAGTGGTGATAGCAAACTTGTCCCACTCCATACACAGCAGATTAAGCTCGAGTAAAATACATTCATATATTTTACGGTGCTGAATCCAAACTCTTTAGAGTTGGGAAGTGGGCTACTTGGAGGGAGTGATATTCTATGGCAAAAAACTTTCAAAAGTGGATATAATCGCCCAGTTTTTCCAGAAAACAATACATCAGATATTACTTTTCAAACAAAATGTCAGATATTGTTTTTTTAAAAAGCAGCTGCATTCTGCAAGTAGACTCACTCTTTATCATAACCTCATATATAAAGAGTTCATTGTGTGATTTTTAAATTGTTACAGATTTTCAGCACAAGATCACTGTGCAAGCGTCTCCTACTCTGGAAAAGAGGAAAAGCTTAAATGGCAGCAGTTGTAGTCCGCCAAGTAGCCCAACCATCATCCCACGACTCAGAGCCATCCAGCGTAAGTGGAATTAATTTCCGTTCTTTTATGCTTTACTGTGGAATGAGTCATTGGAACTGCTGAGCACCTGGCAAAATATTATAAAACAGTGATGGAACCTTACTCTTCATTCATTTAACTAGGATTCGTCATTGAGGCAGGGAGAGAAAAAATATCACCTGCTTGGACATTTCAGTTACATTATATTTCCAGATTGATTTTATGTGTGTGTGTAAAGTCTCATTCTTAATCTTTTGCCACCACTATTCATTGATGCTGCACACCAGATTGCTGAGCATTTTTAGAGGTGATTTTACCTCCTTTGTGGATATGTGGGAATAATCCTTAAAATCGTAGAATATTGCAGCACAGAAAGAGGCCACTCAGCCCATCGTGATTGTGCCGGCTCTTTGGAAGAGCTACAACAACAACAAAATTACATTTATAGAAGGCATTTCACTTCGGGAGGACGTCCCCAAGCGCTGAACAGTTAGGTGTCGGGGCCCGAGCATGGGGGAGGGGTGGTGTAGAGGTGAGGGAAGGAAGAGAGATGGGAGGGAGACCAAAGGCACGGTCGAAGAAGAGGGTCTTGAGACCGATATTGAAGGAGACAAGGGAGGAAGTGAGGCGAAGGGACCGTGGGATGGAGTTCCAGAGTGTTGGGACAGAGAGGCTGAAAGCCCGGTCACCGATGGTAGGGCGGGTCGGGCGGGAGACATGAAGCATGCCGGAGCCTGATGAACGGAGAGCGCGAGCAGGTTGGTAGGGAGTCAGCAGGTCAGAGAGATAGGAGGGGGCAAGGCCATGGATGGCCTTAAAGGTGAGGACAAGGATCTTGAACTCGATCCTCTGGTGGATGGAGAGCCAGTGGAGACGGGCGAGGGTGGGAGTGATGGGGTCCCGAAGCCTGGTGCGTGAGAATACACGAGCTACCTACCCAGTTAGTCCGACTCTCCCGTACTATCCCCATATCTTTGCAAATTATTCTTCAAGTACATATCCAATTCCCTTTTGAAAGTTGTTATTGAATCTGTTTCCACCACCCTTTCATGCAGTGCATTACTGAAACAACTCTGTGCAAAAAAAAATTCTCCTCATCTCCTCCCTGGTTCTTTTGCCAATTATGTTGAATCTAATTACCCTGGTTACTGGCCCACCTGACAGTGGAAATAGTTTCTCTTATTTACTCTTATCAAAACCCCTCATAATTTTGAACACCTCTATTAAATCTCCCCTTAATCATTTCTGCTCAAAGGAGAACAATCCCATCTTTTCCACTCTCTCCTCATAACTCAAGTCTCTCATCCCTGGTACCATTTTGGTAAATCTCCTCTGCACCCTCTCAAGGTCTTGATATCCTTCCTAAAGTGTGGTGCCGAGAATTGGACACAGTACTCCAGCTGAGCAGGTTTAGCAGAATTTCCTTGGTTTTGAACTCTATGCCTCTGTTTATAAATCCAAGGATTCCATATGCATTTTTAAACAGCTCCATCAACCTGTCCTGCCATCTTCAAAGACTTGTGTATGTGAACTCCCAAGTCTCTCTGCTCCTGTACTTCCTTTAAACTTGTACCATTTATTGAATGTTGCCTCTCCTCATTCTTCCTCCCAAAATGCATCACCTCACAGTTCTCTGCATTAAACTTCATCTACCATGTGTCGGGCCATTTCACCAGTCTGTCTATGTCTTCCTGCAGTCTGCTACCATCCTCCTCACTGTTTACTATGTTTCCAAGTTTTGTGTCAAAAAGCGTTTGCTCAGTAATAAACTACTATTGATGTAAAGAGTCCAGTCAATCTGTCATTGGTTTTACATTTTTAAAGTAAAACTTGGAAGATTTAGTCACTTGCTTTACAGGGGTGACCTAGCAGCATTTCCTCCATTAGTGATTGAATTGTGAGCAAAACGGCTCGTGTGATGGAAGCTAATTGTAAATGTTAATAGTACACAGAAAGAAGATTGAATGTTCTAGTTGTACTGAATTAGTGGTGAGTGAAAGGCCTTCTTTCACTGCACAAAATTATTGCATTAACTTGGGCAGAGTCTTGTTTAACTCCAGTACGCTGAATATTAAGCTTGTGTTTTATTTTCTCCTTCACTAAGCTTTCATTTATCCGCCTCCTGACGGTTTGACTCTTACTACTGGAATGTAGTGCCAGTTGCCGGCTGATGTATATCCATAGTGGCCATTTTTAAATGCATGAACTTTGACTGGGAGTGTCAGTGGGCACTCGCCTCACAAGCGAGAGACCTGGGTTCAATTCCAGCCAGGGCAAAACCTTGGGCAAATTTCCTTACTCCACACACCTGATAATAATCCCTCAAGAAAAAAAACAATAATAATCTGGTCACTTCAATCCATGACTGTTTGTGGGACACTGCTGTGCGCAATTGGCTGCCCTGTTTCGCCCACAAAAATGCAGTCAATTTATTTTACAGTATATTCTGTGAAGCACTTCGAGACGTCTAGAAGAGAATCTACGGGAATCTAAAGGAATTTGAATTAAGGAATCTTGTTAAATGCTATAATTAGACCATATAACTGAAGCAGATACTAGTTTTTAATCTGCCAAACCTTTTTAAAAAATGTTAATAGGCTCTTAAGAGTACAGTGCAATACAAATTTACATTTATATAGTGTCTCGCTTAATAAAATAACAACAATTTTTGCATTTGATACAGAACCTTATTTGATAAGTGCTCAGAGACACTAAGGGCGCTATATAAATGCAAGTTGTTCTCACATCAAAGCACTTCACAGGATAAACTGTAAAGTGTGAGACTGTAAAATGGTATATTTTGTGGGTGAAACGCAGCAGTTAATATGCACACAGCAATGTCCCACAAACAACCATGCAGTGAATGACCAACTTCCTGCACATTCAGTGAATGCAGAAGCACTCACACCGTTTCAAGGCTGGTTGGAAGTTTAAGGATCTCAACTATTGCCTTATAATGGGGCTCTACTATATTGTGTATGGTACATGGTTAAGTTAGGGAAAAGAGTAGAATAGAATTGAGGCAGTATTTATGCATTCTGCAGAGGCATTTACAAATGATTTGTAACTTGGGAGTGCTCATTCAGTGAAGAGGGGAAGAAAATAATGTACAAGACTGAGTTGTATTTTAAAATAGAGAATTCAATTCATCTTATAAGTAATAATATGCTTAATTTAGAACGAGCTGAAAGTGTTTATTATCAATGAGATGCATTTCTAAGTAAAGAAATTAATCTGCCCATTCAATGATGATGCTAAAAAGGATCACATGCAATTCATTAAAAGCCACAGCTGTTTGTTTTCACTTTCCTTAGTGAGTTCCAAAACTGATGCAGCCAATTCCAATGGCCACCGGAACAGTATATATGTATACCAACAAGATGTGGATATCGCAAGTGAATATACCAGCAAACCCCCTAGTAGAGCTAAGACAAAAGGCAAGATCTTTGTGTTAAATCCTCAGCGGATGTTAAAGACTCCTTATACTCCTTAATGCACTGTTCAGTGGTATAATTCAAACCAATTCCATCACTTACATTACTTAGATTAAGGCATTCTAACACCAGTGCGTGTGGTTTTAGGAGGCACCTTTGTCATAAAATAAGATTTTAATGAGCTTTCAATTGCTGGATGCCCAATAGTGTCAATGGTGCATGTTGGACTGAAAGCTTTGACTTTGACACATTTGTTTTCCTTTTGTGAACTTTCACCAATAGTCAGTCCAGTGTTCTCTGCCTCAGGGAAGTGAGTTGTAAGAATTGGCTGATCAATAAGCTACCATTTGGCTGTTGAGAAATCCATAATTTGTACTAAAATGCTCTCCCACCTCTGGATTGTCTAAAGTTTTAATTGGAAAGGGGAAAATAGGATGAAAAACAAGCATTTCAGCAAGTTTAAGTTATAAAGTTATTTTAAATGTTTTCTTTGGGTTTTCTCTCTTATATACTACATCTGATGTATATTCTTTTAAAAAAGCTCTCTTTTCTCTTTCATTACACTAGCTAGTGATAATCTAAATTACTAGGGTTAGAGAGTGAAAATCAGCCATTGTTTCCCCTTCTGATCACTAAGTAGAGATATACTAGTTTGTTTATGTGAATGTTGGATGCTGACAGGTTTAGCTGTGATATCTCCCAGTGGTTGAGTCACCTGCTGTTACTCACTGTCAAGGATCACAAATCTTGAGAAAGGTACCAGAAGGAAATTGTGGGACTATATCCCAGTAAAATAGAAAATAATAAATCACACAACTTAAAGCGAGTGGAGAATTTAGAAGAGAAAACTGGCTAAAAAAAAACAAGCTTGTATTGCCTTCCATAATAACACATAAGGTGTTGAATGAAAATCTACAAAAGTGGTGTATTGCACTTCTGATGGTACACAATCTATACACACAGTCACCACTCAACAGTTCATTGAAAACTAAATCTACCTATTCTCAGGTGTCTGTTAATTGACAAACTGACCCATCTTCAGTGGGTTTGACTGCTATTGCAACATTGGCTTGCTGCTGGGAATTGGCGGATTATGCTCTTTAGCTTTCAGGTCTGTATAGAAAAATAATAGAAGCATTGACTTCTGAAGTTTTCTGCTGGGATTTCATGGCTTTATAACCACTGGTGCTTTCTATATAAATTGGCTTAAACTGGCTGGCACTTTTTCCACTGTTGCACTTTGATTAAAATCCTGCTGATTGTCACTACACCCTCCAGGTATGCAGCATTTTTTAAAAAAAAGCCTTTGTCAATCACTGGTAATTTGAATTTGCTTGTTATTCTGATTCATGACTGTTCTGACTTTATTTTACACAGTGACCCTTGATGAAAGTAATAGAACCTGGGGAAAAAGCACTGTCTACCGGCATGAAGACTATGACGAAGACGTCCAGAAAGCTTGTAAGAAGAAAGGTCGAACTTGGGGTCCTAGTTCTATGCAAACCAGGGAACGTGCCAGTTGTGAAGAAAGGTAGGATTCCAGCTGAAGGTATTGGTACTGGACGGTGACCTGTGATTTCTTATGAATTCTCTTCACCCCAGGGCTTCTTCGCCTCTCTCTCTTCATCCTCTGGGCTCTTTGTCTCTCTATTCATCCACAGGGCTCCTTGCCTCAAATTGCTAGAGACAATATATTTTATATGGCAGCAGCCTTTCACCCAAGTGACCGATTTGACAAAGGGTGTCATTAGGTGTTTGAGAGTATCATACATTAGGGCTCAAACCTGAGACCTTTCTGGTCTGTCTATCCCATGACGGCACCATTTACCAGTGTCTTTTTTTTACCTACTAGACCAACAAAAGAGTTCCTTGTGCAATCTAACATGCGGGGATATTTGAAGAAAATGGTTAAGTCAGTCATTCTGTGCAATGTGGTAGGTCAAATAGTTGACATGTTAATTTAATAAGACTAGCGTTAATAAATTGAACTGAGGTTTGACAGATATGCTGATCTAATGAGGGAGAAAAGCAAATAAGAAAAGTATTTTTAGTTGCAAAGTGTAATTCAGTTATAAAGACACTTAATGTGGTTTGAAAATACTTTGCTAAGTATGTTTTATTGAGAGATGGATATTACCTAGTAACTATGGATGTATTTTATTGAATATTTTTGCTCTTGTCCCATTCCATTGCTAATGTGCCATATTCTGTAATAAAAATCACTGATAGTAGCCTTCTCATTAAAAATTGGAAAAAGCATTGTGCTGAAATCTGACAACAGCTTGTTTTTAAATAACTCACAACTATTGTGCATTGCAATAGTATAGCTATAAAATTAGTAAATAAAAAAAATTCTTAGGCAAATGTCCAAGTGTTCTAAATTGTTCATTAGATTTTTGTGATTTATTGTGCATGTCATTATGTTGATACAATGAAAGGTTTTAAAAATGGGATCAGCTCTTCTGAATCCAGCTCTACGTAGTCAAAATTATTTTTTGTGCTCAATTGAAGTTTTAAAATCTCTTTTAAACATTATTGATTTCTCTGTCAGTGATCCTGATCAAGAGGGAAATGTTGATGTTGAAGAGGAGAGGACCAACAGAGGCCTTCCCACCTTCCTGGTTGCTTTACAAATCCACATTGAATAATTCCCATACACATGTAGATTTACTGAAAATGTCAGCATTGGATGTTAATTTGTATGTAATATATGTAATTCAGTCCCCAGTGCATTGACTTTAAGACCGTGTCCTTGCTTTCAAATGCCTCTAGAGCCTTGCTCCACTCTTATCTCTTTAGTCCTACTCCCCTACCCACCACCTTTGCTCGGGTTAACTCTGGCCTGCTTCATGTTCCCTGTACTCTCTGCTCAGCCGTATGCCCCTGTCCTCTAGAATTCTTCCAAGATTTGTCTGCCTTGTTCCCCCCTCTCTCTTTCTCTCTCTCACTGCTTTCATAACCCATTCCATGGCTGATTATGGGAAACTGCTGTGTGCAAATTGTCTTCCGTGTTTTGCTCACAAAATACATAGTCAATGCACATTACAGGATAGCCTGTGAAGCGCATTGAGATGGCTTGACGATGTGATAAGGTGTTATATCAAATGCAAGGAATATTATTATTAATTTTATAATAATATTGCACAAAAATAATTACAAAACTTTTTTTAATTTTAGGACAAGGCCTTTATCAGATGGAAACAATCCTTGGTCTACAAGTTTACTGAAGACTCCAAATATCCTGTTAACCTCAGTCTTTGCAAATGCTGCAGACCAAGGTATGAATTCTTACCTGGTTGCTCAACAATAAATGCCTTTTATTGATCTTTTCATCTTCCTTGTGGTGTTTCACTCCCTAGTATTTCAGCTAGTATTCTGGAGCAGGAGATGTCTGGATTGTGGTCCTTGACTGCTGGTTCTGCAGGATACAATTTTTTAATAAACTCAAATCTCACACACAGAGCTCACAGTAGCCAGTAGCCCCCAAACTATGGGTCGCAAACTGAGATCTGTAAGTCTTATTGTCATGGGCCCGGAGTTCTAGATGTCCCATTGAGATTGGCATTTGGTGGTGTTTCTGACACGTACTGTAATAAATATTGAATGTGCTGCTAAATTGGCCCCCTTCCAGAGGAGGGGGGGGCCTTCATTTTTAAATCAAATGCAAATGTAAGGATTATTAAATGGCACTTTACCCATTCAAGGTCCCACCATTCTATTATCTAATGTGAGGATTGTCACTATTGGAGTGGTCATCTGATTGCAGTATATTCCTTGTTAGTCTTTGTAACACTATCTGTAACATTCATTGCAACACCACAAACAAATCACATTTGTATAGCGCCTTTCACATCAGGAGGACGTCCCAAGGCGCTGGACTGTCAGGGATTTGGAACCGAGCAGGGAGTTGGGATTGGGTGGATGGAGGGTAGGGAAGTTAGAGGTAGGAGGGTGGTCGAATGCGTGGTTGAAGAGGAGGATCTTGAGACGTGCGGTGAAGGAAGAGAAGGGAGGGAGCATGATGAAGGGATTGTGGAATGGAGTTCCAAAGAATGGGAATATTTGCTTTTAGTTCAGTTATCGGTGCAGGCTGCTGTTAACTTTACTGCCTGTGCAGTTGGTGCTGCAGTAAAACCTGAAATAGTGAACTAACTGACTTATTTATCCACAGGGAGTGCTACTGAGCAAATACGAGCAAGTGAAGACTATGAAAACCGACCAAAGCAGTCCACATTAACTAATCAGGTGTACATTGATCTACCTCTTCGTAAAGATCATCAGGGAGAGGGAGACGGTGGCAGCGAAAGTCAGGAGGAAGCAACACCAGTCAGTTCAGCCAACAGTACTCCACAGATCACTCCCACTAACAGCTTGAAGCGTGTAACACAGAGGAAGAAAACTGATATGGTGTTTTATGGGTGTGCCATGTTGCTTGCATCTGTAGCCTTGGGATTTGACATTCGAGAAGTGAACAAGCTCCAGGCATCAGAGGAAATTGAGGTCAAGGAGGAAAAGAAGAAAAAAGAGGGTATCTTTCAAAGGACAAGTCGATTTCGCAGGAGCACAAGTCCTCCGAGCAGAATGTCAACTAAGAAAGACGATGCAAACATTCCTTCACTAAACTCTCATGCTGTTAATCTCTTGTCAATGTCTTCCATATCTGAATGTAATTCGACACGCTCCTTGCTCCATTCGGACTCTGAGGAATTATCCATTTCTAATATCCCTCCTGGAACTATTATCCAAACTCCAAAAGTCCTGACTGGCAATCCTTTAAAAAGTTCTGTAAATGGGATCCACAATCCAGATGAGTCTCCTTCATCAGACATTGATGCTTCTGTTCCTGTTCCTCATGAAGATCACCAGGCTGTGTCTGAAGAAGGAGATGCTAAACAGAGTGCATGTCACCACAGACGGATGCCATCAGATGGAAGCAAAGCATTAACAGACAGTAAGTGATTGAGGTTTATATTTGTCCTGTTAACTATTATTTTTATCCTTTGTGATGTGAATAAATATCTATGTTTTTCCATTCAACATTTTTATTCAACCATTGACTGTTTTCATTGAAATATTTCTTCCAGCTAATGGATTCACCGACTCCAGCCCACTTAGAGAGTCATCACAATTTCCACGTCTTCCAGATCCCAAATCCATGTACCCAGTTTCTGTGAGACAAAGAACTTCAAAAAGAGATAGTACACCTGAGAGACCCAAGTCTGGGGATATGGTAGCTAGACCTCGACCTTCCTTATCGCGAAACAGAAGAGATCCTTGGAGATTTGTTTCTCGTGCTATCAGCCGAAATGAGTCTCCAGATAGATCAGGAGATGCTACACCTGCAGGTTTTGATGTACTCCTCACTGCCGAGCGTCAAACTAGTTTGCCTTTTGGTGCCTGTTCCCTACTTGACATGGATATGGAAGGCCAAAGCCAGGATGGCACAATACCCCTCTGTAGAAGTGAATCGAAGTCTTCTAGACCAAGTGTCTTTCAACTGGAGAAAGAGTTTCTATCTTAGCACTCACTGCCTTAGGGATAGGACCTGCAAAATTACCTTTTATTTCGGAGAGTGATTTATATGAATGCGAAGGACATTGATATATAAACAGAATGTAAATTTTTAGGTGTGTTGTGATGCTTTTCTACTGTAGACCTATGGGTCTTATTATTAGACTAGCTGAGGAATGTCTCTTGTACAAGGTCTCTGTCCAGATGATATTCATGTTCAGCTGGTTTTGATCTTGATCTTGCACAGAAGGGCTGTTTTTATTACTCCTAGCTCTGACTTTTCAGATTTGGAAAAAGGAGTGCATACAATTGCTGCCAACCTCACGATCAATTACTGCACGAAACTGAAGGATCAGTTTTGCACGAAGCCCATGGTATATTGCACTTTGATTATTACGCAGCAACAAAATTTCATCTGAGGTAAAGCTGGTTGTGATTTTTATATTGAATTTGTAACTGATCGGATTTTAGTTTTCCACCTAAAGAAACTTGGTTAAACTTCATGGGTTGAATCCTATTGTGGCTTAAGAATATTCACTTTCTCTCGCTCTTTAAATTCATGTAATGGAAGTTGCATTATTCCCCAGTTGAATCTGCATTTTCCCCGCATTGCTTCAAACCAGTTCTATACAGAGATGATATCCCAATTACTGCTGTTAAAATTGATTTCTTCCCAAATATCAAAAGCTATTTCCTGCTCAAAGGTTTTATGGACTTATTTTTATGGACTTATTCTTTGTAATTATGATATTTTACAAAAGTGTATGGTGCAAAATGTTTTTTCAATTAGCACTAAATCTTAATTAGGGAATCTATCAATCTGATTGAATGTTTTGTTGCAATTGCACAGATATCTTGTAAAGTTTTTAGTATGGAGGAAAATGAATTGTTTTTGAAACTCAGTAAAAAATTACAGTAAGGATAACCTACTACTTAGATCTGAAATTTTAATGTAATATCAATGTTTGTTTCTGAAATGATTCAAAATAAGGATTTATTGAAATTGTATAATTCGTACTCCTGGGGTCAATGATTCATTATTCTTCAGGTGCGTTTTTTTTAAAAATCTGGGAAGAGATTGAAAGGGAAAGAATCTTAAGCTACATATAGATTATAAATCTTGCACCTTCCAAGTTTCTGAAAATATATCTGCATTTTTATTCTGGAAAAACATGATCATTTAATATTAGTCACTTGATGAAATTCAGTCTGTTCTGCTGTATGCCCCTCACACTTTTTGAAGAGTAAGAAGAGCTATGAAGTCATACACTGGAAACTGTACAGGATTACGTCTAAACCTTTGGCTTCCATTTACCGCTTTGTTTCCAAGACTGCTCACACCCCACTCCTCTACCTGCCACTTTCGCTCAGCTGGCTCGGGTATTCTGCATATCCCTTATTCCCTACGCTCCACATTTGGCGGCCGTGCGTTCAGCCACTATGCCCCGAACCTCTGGAACTCCATGCCTCAATCCCTCTGTCTCGTCTCCTCTTTGCCTGTATTCAAATTACACCTGAAGATTTCCTCTTCAGCCGTGTGTTCGGGCACCTCCCTTTCTGCCTCAGCAACAAACAACGGTGCGTTAGATGCTCCGTGACGCTACCATGTGAAAGATGCTAAATAATTGCAAGTTGTTGTAGACATTCTGTACTTCCAGGCTGCAAGGGGGCCAATAAGGGCATTTTTAAAAAATATATTAGAGCTATGACTTATTTAAAATTATTCTGCTGCTAGTTTTTTTCTCATACTTGACCAATCCTCTTAAAATGTTGTGTAGTCTTTGTATAAAATGCAGCCTGAATGCTGCAGTCTAATCGCTACAGGTCTATGAAACGTGATTTCTTTCGCGTACCTATGACCATCTTTGATTTACTTAAAGTTGCAGTGACCTACAATTTAGTGTGGCTTTAAAGTTGGCATAAAAACGTTTTGCTCTATGAATGTTTGCAGAGATTCTTATTTTTCTTTTGTAAATTAACTACAGACTGTGTACAAATTGCACTGCTGGGAGCTATTGCAGGATAAACCACTAACTTATAACAGCAATATTAAATCAAGAAAGAATTACAAAGGCAAACATGAGAGATGTTTTTATGCGCTTAACTTTTAAAGTCTTAAAAAGCAGTTTGAGGGGCATTGCAGCTTTAATATGCTTTTGGTTTTAATGCTTAATACACTAATGAATGATTTTCTCCTCCTTCTCCAGAAGTCGCTGACTTGTGTTTGGGGTAAGGTTTCATAGGCAACTGCTACCTTTGATTCCTTGCTCAAATATAAGTGAGGCCTCTTAAACTGAGCCTGATCCTGTCCTTGAAGTGCACTTTCCAGCAGTAGTCATCTGATAACGATTAGGAGCAGGAACCCTCACTGACTTATTTTACACTTCTTTTCCCCTTCCCCAAACTAGGGTGTTGAAGCCAATTATAGTCCCCCATCTGAGATCCGATAGCTCAATACAGATTGGAGCTCAAGTCTGCATCGTGTGGGATCTTGTGGCTGAATTTTACACTAGGCATCGGGTGCATCCAGGAATCCTGTTTCTTTGTTACACTAAAGGTTTGATTGTATTTGATTTAGGTAATTTTAAACTGATGCATTTTTTTCTAGTTATTCATGGGGACACTCCTGGCATTTTTGTTTTCACTTTTTGGGAAAGCGCAGTACTGGTGAAGTATATATTGGTATTGTAGGCAGTGGTTTTAACTTGAGTTTGAAGGGTCCTAAAGAGTGTAGTTCCATTTAACTTAAATAAACAGCGGAACAATGGAAGATATGCAGCCCCATTCCAAGTTTGTTTATAAAAATCTTTTTAATTGTATGTTTTTGAATTTGTACCAGTAGCCAGTAATACCAATCAGGGAAAAGCAAGAGGATATAGTGATGCTTCAAATTTTGCTAAGAATTAATGTTTTCAATCAGAGAATGAGTGTCAATTTTAAAGTGTCCAATTACTAAGCTCTAATGTATAAATGAGTTTTATATTGTGAAATTGGATACTTAGAATCCAGCTGTTTCATTTTGCCAGTGTTACTGTATATTTTTAATTAGTGTAGTTTTTAATAACTGGCTGTTCATGGGATATCACTTTTGGGTGTTTTTTAAGCATTGATTAATGTACATCAAAAGGAAATTGTTGATTTCTGACTCTTGCTACTTGGATCATACAAAAAATTGTGATGATTTTCAGTAAAATATGTAAGCTATTTGTACCACTATATGAATCACGTCAAAGGTCTTTCCACAAGAAGATGCTGCTTTATATGTTTGTCTAGTTGTATTTTTACTGCGGTTTAAAACTTCGAATAATATTTATGTAAAATCTTAGGTGTTAAATAAGACTTGTTTTTATATTTTCGCCAGTGTATTTTGCCAAGCAGGCTTGGTCCATTGCTGAGTCCAACAAAAACTAATGGGAGTCCTTTTGAAAAGCTCAGCATCAGAGTATATGTATAGCCCATTTTGTTTCCCTATTCTAAAGTCTTTTAATGTAAATCCCAGTTCTTTTGATGATCCTTTTTAATGATTATTCACAATTTGATGCAACAGATGTCCTTATCTGAATTCTGTTTTAATGCTGTAGCATAAACTCAAAATCCTATTGGTCATTTATCAATGGCAGTTTGCTTGGAAATTAGGTAAAATTAAACCTCTTAATTTATAAAGTGTACTACTTACCCAGAATGTTCATAAAAGTGGTCTTTGAGCAATAATGAACAATCACCATCTTAGGTTGCTAAATTGGGACAGTTCCCAGTTGAACTAATTTAAAGTTCAGTTCCTTTCTTTATATGATTTGAAATGTGGGATACACACAATCCAATATTGCTGTTTAATTGCACCTTAAAAGCTTTTCCGTTTAATTATTTGTTTTCCTCCTTCAAAACCAAATCTTTCATCCCACCAAAGCATGAATTCCACAGAATACAGCCTGGTTAGTATAATCCAGGCGTCAATCAAAATATATTGAAAATGAGATGCCTTCAGTCGATCAGTTATCAAATGGGATCAGTACTGCTCAAGCATTTCCATTGGTCAGAAAGGCAGGAAGGTCTGATGTAGTCAAGGGTTCTTACCTTTTGATAGAGGGCCCTGGATCTCTGAAACAACCAAAGGAATTCACTTGAACCTAGCTCTGAAATGTAGATTTTGCTGCTTAGAAGCTTCACTAGAGTCATTAAAAAGTATTGTTAATTTGAGTTAGAAAGATCCAAATGTGTGCTCCTTTATGCTGCATAATTTTGTATGGAACAATTGCCAGATTCAAGCCAAAAGGGAGAAATTTGCAGTGAACCCTTAAAGGGGAATGAAATGTTTTTGTATGCAGTTCCCAAGATGTCTTGGCCTTTCCATTCAATTACAGGCACTTGTCTCTAATAGACCGGCCAGCCTTTAAACTTTTAATTACATCCTAATTTAAAATGAAATTAAGACTTCTCTTCCCTCCATTGCATGTGTATAAGACAAATTTGAGTGTCACTTTCTGATGTTAATTCCGATAATAATTATGATGCTCCAGGTTAAAAATCTTGTCTCTGCTCAAAATGTTTCAACTTTTTATGTCAGCCGGTCTTTGAAAAATGTCAAGTATGTAAAATTGTGAACATGTCTGCATTTAGATGAGAAACGGTTCTGTTTTTCTTCAGTGGAAAGGAGAAGTCTATTGCATTTCATAAGTGACTAAGTTATTACTGATAAGCAGTGTGCTTATGTAATTGGGTATTTGGTTCTCATTAAAATACATTGATGATGCTTAAGCAAAGAACAAAGCTAGCCAATAATGCTGTGTACAGTACTATAATAATACACACCTCATAGCTAATACCTCAACAAGCACACCATAGCATTACATAGCATTAAGTCTTGCACCAACAATGGTGTTTTGAATTATGGTTGGTTTAGTATTTATCCCCATTTTTTTTTTTCCGCCTGCCCTGGGTCTTTTCTCTCACTCGCTTTCCCCCTCCCTTCCCAAGCTCCCACCCCAAAAAGGATACTCCAGTTAAGGAGGAGTAGGCAGGCAACCAGTTTCCTTGTCACTCTGTGTAGCTGGATGTTGAATAGTGTGTGATAGCACCTTAGAGTGACTTGTCTCTCCTTTGGGAAAGTCTTTCAATCTCTTGTGTGAAATATCACCCCTCCTCCTCCCGGATCTTTCCTATAAGCTGAATGGTAATATTGGGAACAACCTGCATGTTGTCACTGTATGTGCAATTCATCACTTAATTGGCTGAAATATTTTTTGAAAGCCAAGGATCTTTAAAATAATACAGTATTAACCACTTGCATTTGTGTTTTAATACCTTATTAAACTACTGGGTTCTACTCTTTCCTGATGCTGGGCTGATGTATACTATGTTTCTGTGCCTTAAAATCATTTTAAATTAAAGATATTGGGTCTGAATGAAAAAGATCACTAATGCTGTTAATTGATTGAGCGCCTGTTGTATGTAATGAAGCTTTTATTCCCATGTGTTTTTGTGTATAAATGTAGACCAAATGTTAGACTATTACTGTACTGAATGACCCCTTATTATTCTGCCATATTGGTATATGAGCTCTGATTATTTTACATATTTAGCCTATATGAGTTGAATGGAAATTCACAGAAATGCAGCCATCTATTTGGTTTAAAAAGATTTTTTTAATAAAAAAATTACAAAAAAATTGTACCTCCAGTTTGTCACCAGACCACTTCTCGCTACCTGTCCAAACCTCAGCAATGTGATAATTATGTCCATATATTTTTGCCTTAGAGAAAAAACAAAAGGCTGTATTAACTGAATATGGTGATGGAAGACTCCTTTAGAACAGATATGTAAGTGAGATCTGAGTTGGTGGCACAGATGAGATGGATGTAATTGGACTGTAAGCCCTATGTTTGTCAGTTTTACTTGTAAACCAGGCTTGGGAATGTTCTACACATTCCAGCTTGTATCACGGGTGCTTTTTGGAATCAAGTGTTAATACTGTTACAGTACAAATCTATGTTGGATGTATGGACTACTGAATATTTTACTGTAGCTGTAAATTGTTTATTTTATATTTTAAATTGTAGTTGGCACCCATGGTACTGTTAAATAAAATCACTGAACCACTTTTTCCACAAAAAGAGGTATTTGTATGAGAGAACTGTGCTGTACAGAAAGAATTCTGGCACTTTTTGGCCAACACAATAAATACCAGTTTTAATAAAACTCCATTTTTCAATAAACAACTTATTTGTGTTATGTTTGTATCCTACAGCTGTAAAGTAAATTCAGTAAGACTGATAGGACAAATTTGTATTGGGATAAAATCGTAAATGTTGTGATTTAAGTTCATTTAAGGGCTTATGGTAGTATACAGGCAAGTTTGAGTAAACCATCACAACTAGTGTGTAATTGGTTATACTGTACTATAATGCTGAATCGCACCAGTTCTGGCCAGGCTCTGCATCACGAAATGGATCGACTCACTCGATCATCGTCTTCACTCACCTGTTCAAATCCGTTCACTCCCTGGTACCTCCCTACCTCTCCGACCGCCTCACTCCACCACCTGCCGCCTTTTGCTCGTCCCTTGTGCCCTTCGCCCCACCATTGGGGATTGTGCTTTCAGCCACTATGCCACAAAACTCTGGAACACTCTCCCTCAATCCCTCCTTGCCCCCTCCCCTCTTTCAAGTCCCATCTGAAACCTTTCCTGTTCGACCGTGTTTACGGCCACTTCTCACCATTTCTGAGTCAGGCTCCGTCACTGTTAAGCGCTCTGAGACTCTACCCTGCGTGGAAGGAGCTATATAAGTGCAAGTTGTTGTTGAAACATTTTGTGGATTAAACATTTTTTAAATGGATGTTCCAATACTCCATACATTATGGATAAATTCACCTATTTGGAGACTTGAACCAAAAGCCAAGCAATGTGACCTTTTTTGTGTCCTCAGAAAATGCTCCCATTACCTCCTTTATAGGTAAATAGGTGACCTTTATAGGTGAACTCCTCAAACCATACTGGTCCAGATCGTCCTTTTGTTTAGACACCAACCTGCTTCATATTCCCCATCCTACCTGCCCAACCATCAGCAGGTGGGTTTTCAGCCAATCTGCACCCACTCTCCAGAACTCCATCCTGGAGTCTCCAACTTGCTCCCTCCCACACCTGGTTCAAGCTTTATCCTTGACTGTGCTTTCAGTCATCTTCTCCCTCCCCCTCCCCTTAACTCCCACCCCCAACTTGAGTGTTAATCACCTTGGTGTTATATACATGTAAATTTGTATTATAAGAGAATGCTAACAGAACTTTGTACCAGGCTTTAGTCCAGGCGCGCCAGAAACCTTTCAAGATGAGGGAAGATCACAACCATTTCTAAAAGTTTTTCTACAAACTGCCAGGCACTGCAGCTGTGATATTAATTTTAGCATTGGCACCAGTTCCCCTCAACATGAAGTCTTTGGCTCTCCTGAAAAAGTGTGTTGTCACCTAGTATCAGGTAGGGGTGTCCTGCGTTGTCAGCGATGCCATCCTTCCATTGTGATAGTTAAACCAAGGTTATGTATGCCTGTTCAGGTGGATGTTTGTTCCCAAGGCTATATTCAAAAACATGAGAGTCACTCCTGGAGTCCTGCCCAATCAATAATTCTTCGGCTTAAGTTAGTAATTAGAATTTTTTTTCGCTCAGTTGTAGAGGTGGAATGCCCTGGTGCTCCAGGATACTACCTTGCATGAAGGGTGCTATATAAATGCAAGTTGTTGTTGGTGAGTGAGTCGGTGTCTATTGTGGGTTTCAAGAAGGAAGAAGATAGGTATATACTGTGAAGTGAATTGACTATATTTTGTGGGCAACACGTGGGGGCCAACTGCGCACAGCAGTGTCGCACAAATAGTCATGGATTGAAGTGATCAATTTATTATTTTTTTTCTTGAGGGATTATTACCAGCCGTGTGGAGTAAGGAAACTTGCCCAAGGTTTCGCCCTGCCGGGAATCAAACCCAGGCCTCTCGCTTGCGAGGCGAGTGCTGTAACTACTGAGCTACAGGACTATATAAAGTTAGGAGGATGGGGATAGGACAGGACAATCTGTTTGAAAGTAAAGCTTCCTCAGGCCCAGTGAGCTAAATGGCCACCTGCACTCTAAATTTCTATGACTATTTAGTTTGTGGGACATTGCTGTGCACAAATTAGTTGCTACATTTGCCTGCAATTAGTCATTTCACCTTCCTGTGGAACCTGAAACAAATTGTGTGATGAGTCGCTATGTTAAACAAAAGGATTATTTTAATTCTGCTTTCACAATCCAAATCAAACACTTTGCTAAATCTTAATTTCATATCTTCTTTCTAATGAACAAGTTCACCTCTGTGAGCCTCTCCTCATGACTTAAATTCTTAGATCCCAGATTTATTGATGGATCTCCTCGGAAACCTGCAACACTGATCTTTTGAAAGCAGGCTGCTCAAAACTGCTTATTCTAAATCTAGCTTATACTATGATTTATTTCAAAGGTTGAATGGTTGAAAATGCAAACTAGCATTTGATTTAATTAGTTGAAAGTAGTTACATACTGTTGGAAACCCTCAGTTAATGATTAAGCACAGTATGTAGGTTTGGGGATGGATCAAAAGAGCAGCTCAAGCTACTCCTTGATGTAGGACTGCAGGGCATGTATTTCACTTATTACATTCTCACAGGAAATTTATACTTGTTCTAAAGTCTGCTCTTTGCTTTCGCAAGCCAATTCAGTGTAACCACCAATTGTTGGGGTAGATCATATGACCAAACAACCTATTTGCCACCTGAGAACACAACATCTTCATTGGTCACAGTTGCATCTATTCTGAATGCTGTGTCATCTAGGACTTGGAGAATTGAGTTATCCTGTAACCATTCAAAAGGGTTTAAATTGCAGTGGCATTTTGTGTAACAAGTGTTTTGTGACAGGACAAACAGTATGCTCCCTTCAATGTGGGGAATTCTTTCCAGGGATGGAACACTCATTTGTTATTGGATATTTTGTTGTCTGCTTAACACTACAAAATTGGTAAACTCAGGCCAGCTGCACATTCCCCATCCCCACCATCAGCAGCTGAATCTCAAGCTACTATATTCCCAGCCTCTGGAACACCCTCCACCTTGCTTCCTTCCACCTTTATATAAAAAAAAACTTTAAAAACCTACTTCTGACTGTGCCTATAATCCCTTCCTCTTCCTGTGTCCATAGCCATCTTTGTAAATTCACATGAAGGGGATTTATACAGGTACACATTATCTAAAGTCCTTCCAATCATTGCATTTGTCAAAACAAATGACACAACAGTCAACCTCCCCCCCAAAAATTCTAGATACATTCATCCAAGAACAGCATTTATTATATCAGGAATGCAATATAATCCAGCATATCCCCTTTTAAAGGGATTGTTGAATAAAACATCCATATACTCAAATATTTTACACTGTAGGCTCATTCAAGGTAAGGGGAATCTACTTTCCTCCTCCCACAAATACTCACTTTCAGGACCAATGTTTGCCAGGGTACAAAGCCTTGGGCATCAGATGCCATCTGGTACTTTGTCCAATAGCTTATTAATCCAAACCCACTTGAGCCAATTCAACACATTTTGCAGCAGAGAGTCACTGGATAGCAATTCTAGAGACTATGTGTAAAAACTACCAAAATCAGTTGTTTCTACACAAATAATTTAAACTGGAAACATTGGAACACTGAAAGTTTACTAGAAGAACTGAGGTTAATTCATATTTATGGAATGAAATCATGCCCACCAGTCCCTTCCACATAAAGCCAATTAGATTGCCGGAGGCTGTCCCAGTCTAGGAGGTGCTCTCCACATAGAAGTCACATCTTTACTACATAACTTATCACAAATTCTTTTTTTTAATTATTTTTACAAAAAAGTTGTGCAAGTTTCATAGTCACAATTTTGATGAAAATAAGTTTGTGTATTTCTTCGGTCCATTGAGGATAATCGAGATTTCCTTCAAAAGATGAGGCCAACCACCATTTGGGGAGGTTGTAGTAGGGTTAAAATGCATAGGACACATTAGACTAAATCAGCTATTGTACCGGGGAATTGAGTGGCTACCCCACAAGGCTCCCACCTTCTTGTTTTCCCTGGAACAGAAACAAACCTTGACCAATAAGAGCCAAACATCTCTTGGGATGCATAAGTCATATAAAGAAAGCCATCAGAGTCCTTGTAATCCTGGTCTAATTCACACATGGTGGCGCACATGTTCACCAAGCTTCGGTTCTTCACCAACAGGTAAAATGTTTGACTGGATGACAGAGCCAGACGATCCCTGAGAAAACAGTACGAGTTTAAAAACCCCCCACCAAGAAACACATTTTGCCCTTGTCAATAAAATAATTCAAAGCACCATAGATCATTAGCCAAGGGCTACTTTGGTAGACAAACAAAAACAAAGTTCCACCCACAGAAAGCCAATGACATACATAGCCAATTAATCAAAGATTTTTTTGTAAACCAAGACATCAGGAAAAAAAATGTTTAGCATCGACCTTAGCATGTAGGAAAGATCTTGGTTAAAACCTCGGAAAAAAGAGGGCAGCTCCAACAATGCATCCCGCTGTGGTAGACAACTTAGACTGAGCTCAAGTCCCCAAATAGGATATGAACCCACAAATTTCTGCCCCAGAGGCAAGAATCCTACCACGTGCCCCCAAGCTGTTCACACACCAAGCTGCGGGCAGCAGAGCAGGAGGCACCAGGGCACCTGTTGACAACAGAAGCTCCATCAGGAGCCCCATCCATTTCCGAAGTTGTCGCAGCTCGGGATGTCCTCGGGACATGAATTGTTATATAAATGCAATTTGTTGTTGTTGTTGTTGTTGTTGAACCCAGGACTCCCATGTTTTATTTGTACCCCCACCCCCACCCCCCACCCCATGCTCAGCTACACACCTGATGATGGTAACAAACTGGCACATTGTCATCTCCTGGGGAACAAGGAATTTAGCTTTGTCCAGGAAGGGCAGGTACAGCTCTCCGGGATACCGCTCCACAATGACCTGCAGAGGGGAACATTCCCATTTAGCAGCAGGAAAAGACCATCCCAAAGCCACCCTCCAACACCCCCCACCCCTCCCCCCCCCCAACACACACACACACACACATATATATATATACAGAGCTCTTACTGGGATCTTCTGTGGATATTTGTCCCGAATAAAAGCAGCCTCCGCTTTCCTGGAAGCTGTTTAAAAACACAGAACGGATTCTTTTGTTTAAAAATTTTTTTTTTAAAAAAAACAACAACACAGTACAAACCCCCCCCTCAGCCCAGACTCACCTGCGCTCTTGGCGTGTTTGAAACGCTGAGCCCTGTGACTCCGGTACATGTCTGCCGAGCTCCAGGTTTTCCCAGGCGCCGCCGCTCCGCCGCTTTTATGCTGTCCCCGAGAGTCCGCGTCAAGGGCGTGGGGGTCGGCCGTGGATTCCGGATCGGATCGGCTCAAGCGACGGAGCGAACTGCAGGGCAACCCCCGCTGGAGACCCAGGTCCACGCTCCATCTCCCTCTCCCTCCCACTCCACTGCAGGCACTTTATCATCAACTCCCCCCCCCCGCACACTCACTGAGATCCAGCACGACGTCAGTCACTCCTCGCACCACTCCTCTGTGGAGGAGTCCAGCCCCCCCCCCCCCACCCCCCCCAAAAAAAAAAAACACTCTGCCACAAACATATCCACCAGCAATTCACTTTACAAGATATAAACAAAAAGCAAAAAAAAAAACCACACACCGCAGAGGCTGGCAATCTGAAACCCGAAGCAGAAGTGGCCGGGAACACTCGGCAGGTCGGGCAGCATCTTTGGAGAAAGGAAAGCGAGCCAAATGTTCCTTTCTCCACAGACGCCGTCTGACCCGCTGCTAATACTGTGAAGTGTTTTTGTTTCACTTTACAGTGTATTCTGCGAAGCGCTTTGAGAGCGTCTCGAAGATGTGATAAGGCGCTATAGCAAATGCAAGGATATTGTCATCATTGTTATCAAGTCATGCATCCAGGCCCATTATAATGGTTGATTTAATTATCATCCCCACTGCTCGGCAACAGGCTCCGCTCCGCCACTGTTAAGCGCTCCGAGACGCTGCCCCGAGTGAAAGGAACTATATTATGGTACACAATGGTATACAGCGCCTTGGGATGTCTTCCCGATCTGAACGGTGTTACAAATGTCATTTTGTATTGGATTTTGTATTGCATTGTAATGAAATTTGTTGATATTGTTATTGATACCAGGGTAAGCATTCAGCGTTAGCATTTGTGCTGCTAGTTAGTAATGGAATCGTAGAATCCTACAGCACAGAAGGAGGCCATTCAGCTCATCTTGCCTGGGCCGGGGCAGGCATAATGGGCTGAATGTCGAGATCAAACATTTGTTAGAAGCCTGGGTGTCTTGCGTGACATATTATTTATTATTATGAATTGCTAACTTAAATAAATAGGAAATAGCACTTAACATGTGCAGCCTAGCCTTTGAGCTAAGCTATCTACTTTGTATGTTGCGTTGTTGAAATGAAGAAAATGTAAATTAAAAAAACTGGCAGTTCCATTGACTTAGGACAGGAGTTCTGGATTCACATCCTGGTGTTTCACTAAACCAAAGTACTGACTACCATGTCTTTAAAAAATATGAGTAAAGGATTTAATGAGGTTGCAGCATGGTTATTCAACATGTTTGGTTCGTCATAATCGTAATAATAATATAATAATTTGCTTTGATTTTGATATGGCTCCTCTCACGTTGGGCGAACATCTCAAAGCACTTCATAGGATTTAAAGTAAATGATTGTCACCGTCTATTTTGTAGGCAAACTCAGTAACCAATTATTCAGAGGTGTTTTATCCGCACATTTGTTGTGGGAGGTTGAGTTTTGGGTTGCACCACAATTAAATTGGTCCAATGGTAAGACAAAGGAGGGATCCTTTTACTTGGCTGTGGCTGAGGGAACACCAAGGCAAATAACTTGAAGTATTTGCCTTTTGTCCGTGATTGAATAAATGTTTGAGACCCAGGGATTTTCTTTCCACAAAATGATTCAGAAAATGCAAAGCAACCTTATTTTAAAATTCTTTGCAATAATAAAGACACCATTTGTATTCAGAATGTAACGTCCAAGTCCACCAGGTGGCGTCTAACCACCATCCAGCTTCAGGGTGGATGGAGCATGTTGATGATCACAGCAGGGTAAAACCCTTTCAATATCCATCGCTGAGGCACAAGCAGTGATTCCTTACGAGTCAGAATTGCCCCCATTTCGCTAAGAAAAAGAAAAAAATGAAAAGGATGTATTATGCGCGGTGATGTTAGAACGTCAGCATATTGCCTCATTGTTCTGATGGGAATTGTACACAGTTGCCTACAATAATAGGCACTATACTTTGCAATTTACTCGTTCAAGGTACATCTCAAAACGTACTTCTTTGACTGTGTCTCCAGTCATCTTTCCCCTGAAAAATGAAGGTCTTTTGGTGGGACTTGAAGGTGCGGAGGGAGGTGGCAAGGTGGAGGGGCTGAGGGAGAGAGTTCTAGAGTTTCGGGGCATAGTGGCTGAAGGCACAGCCACCGATGGTGAAGCGGAGGAGACGAGGGACAAACAGGAGGCCGGAGCCAGCCGCGCGGAGGCTGGAGCCGGGTGGTGGAGTGGGTGGGGTAAGCAGGTCGGATAGGTAGGAAGATGTGAGGGCATGAAGGGATTTGAAAATGAGTTAAAGGATCTTGAGATCTATCGTTCGGTAATTGGAAGCCAGTGGAGCCTGGCAAGGACTGGTGTGATGGGGGAGCAGAGTTTTGTTTGGGTGAGTATCCGGACAGTGGAGTTTTGAACGAATTAGATTTTCGGTATGGTTGAACTGGGCCGACCAGCGAGGAGGACATTGGAATAGTCCAGCTGGGAAGTGACAAAGGCATGGACAAAGGTTTCGACTGCATTGGTTGTGAGGTAAGGACGGAGGCGAGCAATGTGGCAGAAGTGGAGAAATTGTGTGTTAGAAAGGAAAGCTGGGGATCGAACCTGATGCCTAAGTTGTGCACAAGTTCGGTTAGTCTGCGGGAAAGCCCGGGGAGGTTGAGAAGTCCAGACCCACAGGAGAGACTTTCCCTGAGAATGACGAGTTATCAGGAGTTTACTGTAATTTAGCTTCACTTCAGTGAAAGAACTTCCATTGCGACTCAATGTCAACAAACTGAGGCGATCCTGCTCGGCTCATGACAGCATTTCCTCAGCTTAATCACTGACCACATCAACCTCCCAGTATCTTATTCAAGCTCACAGAGCCTGGCAGAACCTAAGCAGATTGTTCAACCATCAATTCTCCTTTAAACCTTACATCTGAGCTTCGTGCCTCCGAACGTTCCATCTTACATTACATTTGTGGAGTCCTGTAGCTCAGTGGTTAGAGTACTCGCCTCTCAAGTGAGAGACCTGGGTTTGGTTCCCGGCAGGGAGAAACCTTGGGCAAGTTTCCTTACTCCACACGCCTAATAATAATCCCTCAAAAAAAAACAATAATAAATTGGTCACTTCAATCCACGACTGTTTGTGGATCACTGTTGTGCACAATTGGCTGCCGCATTTCACCCACAAATATACAGTCAATGCACTTTACAATATATTCTGTGAAGCGCTTTGAGATGTCTGAAAAAAAAGACGTGAAAAGCGCTATATCAAAATGCAAGGATTATTATTATTATTCAGACACTCTGGCGCTGTGCACTGACATCCCTCCACCTTTTCCCCTCCGTCTCTGCTGTCAAAACCTGTCAAAAAAGGCTGTTTGTGGGACACCACTGTGCGCAATTGGCTGCCGCGTTTCGTCCACAAAATACACAATCAATCCACTTTATAATATATTCTGTGAAGCGTCTCAAAGTTATGATAAGGCAATATATCAAATGCAAGGGTTATTATTATTATTATTATTATCATAGACCTATCTCTTTGAATGCACCTTCAACCACTTAAGTGAGTGAAGTGACTGTGTTTGTTGGCTAACTATAGAACTGAATGCACAAAACATTTTTTACCCAGCTTCCATGGAAGCTCATGGTTAACTGTGAAGGTTTGAGACAGTTTGCTCAATTGAGCTGTACATCCCCGGGAGGTCACCAGTTCGATCTGATCTGAGTTACTTGATGTCAGTCAGGCAGTAAGGGCACCATAATTGGCCTCAGCGATGCAGTGAGACAGTCTGTGAATTCTTTTCCATTCTACATTTTGACAGGATTCTCTTTGTCAGACTGAAATCCAATGCATAACAAGAATTTTCAGTAACTGCAGCTTTTTTTGTGAACAACCTATTGTTCACATTTCTCAGTCCACCCAACACTTCAGTGAATACATTTCCTGTGTCATCATTCAGCGGTCTAACAATGCACCTACATGTTGTGTTCTTCTGGTGCTCCAAGTTTACAAGCACAGCTGCCAGACAGTACACTTCCTGTTAATTTATACCAAAATTCTTTGTGCAAAGATCTACGCTGCTCTTTCTGCTCTGACCCCCTTTGTGACATTACAGGATAAAGAAAATACACCCAGAACAGCACTATCAGACACTCCAAGGCAACGGGACAACAGGGCACGGGGTTAGGGTTTTGAAGAACAATTTGAGGATAGAGATTAAGATTTTTTTACACAGAAGCTAAGTAATAGCTGCACTGGGTCACTGGGAAGAGTGTTTGAGGCCAGGACACTGGAATCATTTAAAAAAAACAGCTTGATGCCGCAATAAGGGAGTGTTCTGAAAGGATGAGATCATCTGAACCTCTTGTGTTCTTGATGAATATTCTTAAAGTCTGGTATACTTAAGGTCTCTAAGAACCACTTAGTCTTGTAAGACAACTAAAGTTCAGAAACACTTCTTTATTTTCGATAAACAGTGGCAAATGATATCATAAAATTATCCTCAAGTGTTGGAAACAGGGTTTTAAAAGCATTACCTCTATTTTGAGTTGGCTGATTCTTAAACATTCATCTTGGGCAAATCAATCTGGCATTACAATGTAACCCTATGGAATTATGCAATGCTTGATCACAGACCAACACTGCCTAGTTTCTTTGACAAATGGCAATGAATAGTGCAGAACCTTTCCATAGTCATTAATCAGGCTTTACACCCAATTCTTTCCAGTCACGTTGCTCTGGTGCACACTTTATATTGTGTATGACTGAAAACAAAACCGACAGGATCAATAACTAAGCAAGAAGCAAGTAGCCAACCTTAACTCATCGACTAATGTTGCTAAGATGCAGAGCAGCACCCAAATGGTGAGAAACAGGACACGCCCAAACACATTTGTACCATCTGGGATGGGAACCAACCTGTCCAGGCACAGTTGAGATTGTCACATAGTCAAGTCAATTGCGGCACTGCACAAAGACTGAGTGGGGTGGGGGTTGAGGAGCAAGTATTGTTTCAAGTTTAATTGACTGCAAAATGTACCAATGTTGCAGTAAACGAGTTCTTGAGTATTACCCTGGAAATGTAACAGCTGGCTATTGCCTCCACGCACATCAACTTTTACTTTAATAATTTAAACAATGCTTCACAGGAAAGTAGTTTGAACATATACATTTTCATAATAATGCAGAATACTAATGCCTGTGCACTCAGTGCATCGACACAGCATACTGCGATACCCTGCGCACCAGATCGAATATACCAGCAGGGGGCGCCAGTTCTCATTAATGATTATGAAGGAAAGATGTGTCTACAGCTTTATTAAGTTTAGTTTGGGATCGATCACCAATAGTGTCTTACACTACTGCAGACATCGCTGATTTAGGAACCAGACTATTGAGACCGCCGCAAAGCATTAGCTCTTTTCTGAATTTCCATTGTCAGGCTGAGCCTCAACGAAATCCTACAGCTGGTAGCAGAGGTAAATATGGAACAGATATTAAATCTGATCAAGGAGAGTGGCCCTGCTACAGATCTGATCTGGAGCCTTGTTTACACAAAACTTACTGTGCAGTGAGTCAGGCACACAAACACCAATGGAGTGTATCCTGCATCGTAAACCCTCGAAATACAGGCTCCCATTGAATGGATCCCAAAGGCTATTCTCTGTAAAAAGACAGAAACATATTAACAGAGGCAGCGTATGAGAGGCCGCGAGAAATATTATGTCACATCCCCAAGTTAAAAGGATTCTTTAGAAGTTTCCCAAAAATGTTAGATTCTTCAGTGACATCTAATAATGCAGAACCAGAGTCGCTGAGAATCAACCAATTTATACATTATTTTTTACCTGTGGTGGAACGAATAGCTCTCATTCCATCAACAGAAAGACATCGGATAAGCAGTGTCAGCTTGGCTCAGTTGGTAGCATTTTCTACTCGGAGTCAGGGTTAAAACTTTTGAGCTAATAGTCTAGATTGATAATTCAATGCTCTGCTGGAGGGGGTGTTGCATTGTCGGATGTGCCGTCCTTCCTATGAGACATTAAGCCGAGGTGTCGTCTGCCTGTTTCGTGGATGTTTAACATGGTACAATTTGAAAAGAGAAGGAAATGTCTCCCGATGACATGACCAACAATCCTCCAGGTAAAACTGGGCATTCAGTTCATGGCTGTCTGTGGGACGTTGTTGAGTGCAAATGAGCTGCTGTATTCACCTACAAGTGCAGTCACTGTCAATTCAGTAAAGCACTTTGAGATGCATTGATGTGATATAGCTTATAATCAATACAAATATTATTAAATTGATGGGACCTGGTGATTCGCCACTAAGATTTCTAGCCTGTGCCTAAACTAAAAGGACCGACAATAAAATACAGCCTCGTAAAATAACAACCACGAAGGAAGCTACCCATCAAATCTATTGCTGAAGTTGGCTCCTCCACTGGGAGCTATATGGTCTGATCCCAATTCCCAACTCTTTCCATGTCACCTTTTACATTGCTTCACTTCTAAACATGTATCTGAAACATCTGGGAGCTGAGGTTGGCTCAGACAGCTGGGACCAGGAATACTGACTGCCCTGTCCTTCGGTGGGTTTCAGGGCATCACTCATTCTCACGCCTGTGACCAGCGTTGACCAGTAGGCAAAGACCCCCCCTGAGATACTCCCGGGGACTGGGAATGTGGGGAGAGTGGTTAGAGCACTCGCTTTGCAAGTGAGAGACCTGAGTTCAATTCCAGGCAGAGGGCGAAACCTTGGGCAAGTTTCCTTACTCCACACACCTAATAATAATCCCTCCAAAACCCCAAACAATAATAAATTGGTCATTTTCAATCTACGACTGTTTGTGGGACATTGCTGTGCGCAATTGGCTGCCGCGTTCGCCCACAAATATACAGTCAATTCACTTTACAGTGTGTTCTGTGCAGCGCTTTGGGACGTCCTCCCGACGTGAAAAGCGCTATATCAAATGCAAGGATTATTATTATTATTATTATTATTATTATCGCACAGCACCAGACTGAAGGGCAAACCGACAGCTTTTGAGACTCGGATCGAGGAGTACAAGGCGAGACGTTAACGCAGTCCGTTGGCGCGGTCTGATCCGCCGGGACTGTGCGGAGGAGCCGGGAAGGCGGGGGCTGCAGGGGGTGGGGGTCCGGGGCTGCTCTCGGGATGTGGGAGGGTGGGGGGGGGCTCGCGGGGCACGTTTTCAAAGGAGGCGCCACGGGGGCTATCGCAACAACGCCTCTCCTGGGGGTGGGTGGGGGGTGGGGGATGGGATGGGGGTGGGGGGGGGGGTTTCTCTGGGGGTCAGGGCACATCCCCCGGGTGGGGAGGGAGGGGGGAGGGGGGGGGTGCATGACGATCAGAGGGGGTGGCAATGTATCCTCACCAATTAAAGGCTGGTCCTGATGTGGGAGGGGAGAGGAGAGAGGAGAGGAGGGGATGAGCAGCAGCAGCACCGCTGTGGGCGTGTGGCCGGGGATCAGTGCGGGGCGGTGCGGTGCGGCTGTGGTGGTACTCGCACTGCTCCGGGCGGCACATTGAGCGGCTGTGGTCCCGAGCTCTCCCCCTCTCCCCCTCAGCCACAGCCACAGCCACAGCGGGACCCCCGGGAGCCCAGATCACGAACCCCCCCCCACCACTCCCACCCCCACTCCCACCCTCACCCCCGGGGAGGACGCGGCCGCGATGTCGGTCGGTGAGAGAGCCGCCGCCTCCCCTCCCGGCGGCCTGGACCGCTCCCGGGCGGGCGAGCGGCTCCGGGCTGCCCTCGCCGGGCTGCAGGAGCTCCATCTGCTGCGGGAAAGGCAGAGAGGACTGGTGCGGGAGGCTCTGGGGGGGCACAGCCCCCGGCCCACAGCCCCCGGCACCGGCACCGGCACCGGCAGGAGGGGGGGGGAGCAGCGGAGGGACCCCGAGAGCCGCACTCAGGAGCAGCGCCTGGAGGCGACTCTCACCGCACTCAAGGAACAGCTGGTAAGGCACCCACTCACCCCCACTCACCCCAGCCTGACAGCCCGCGGCACAGCACAGCTCAGCACAGCACAGCTCGGGTCAGCTCAGCACAGCACAGCTCGGGTCAGCTCAGCTCAGCACAGCTCAGCTCAGCACAGCTCGGGTCAGCTCAGCACAGCACAGCTCAGCACAGCACAGCTCGGGTCAGCTCAGCACAGCACAGCTCGGGTCAGCTCAGCACAGCACAGCTCGGGTCAGCTCAGCACAGCACAGCTCAGCTCAGCACAGCTCGGGTCAGCTCAGCACAGCTCGGGTCAGCACAGCTCGGGTCAGCTCAGCACAGTACAGCTCAGCTCGGGTCAGCTCACCACAGCTCAGCACAGTACAGCTCAGCACGGGTCAGCTCACCACAGCTCAGCTCGGGTCAGCACAGCTCAGCACAGCACAGCTCAGCTCGGGTCAGCACAGGTCAGCACAGCTCAGCACAGCACAGCTCAGCTCGGGTCAGCACAGGTCAGCTCAGCACAGCACAGTGCAGCACAGCTCAGCTCGGGTCAGCTCAGCTCAGCACAGCTCGGGTCAGCTCAGCACAGCTCAGGTCAGCTCAGCACAGCTCAGCTCGGGTCAGCACAGTACAGTGCAGCACAGCTCGGGTCAGCTCAGTACAGTACAGCACAGCTCAGGTCAGCGCAACTCAGTACAGTACAGCTCAGGTCAGTACAGCTCAGGTCAGCGCAGCTCAGGTCAGCACAGGTCAGCACAGTACAGTGCAGCACAGCTCAGGTCAGCTCAGTACAGTGCAGCATAGCTCAGGTCAGCACCGCACAGCTCAGGTCAACACAGCTCAGGTCAGCACAGTACAGCTCAGTACAGCACAGCCCAGGTCAGCTCAGTACAGTACAGCTCAGTAAAATACAGCTCAGGTCAGCTCAGTACAGCTCAGGTCAGCACAGTACAGGTCAAGTCACTCTGAAAACCTCCGAAATATGAGCATTTGTCCGTCAAATGTGTGCATTTCTGATCTGATCAGTCACTGCACAGCGTTTTAGTTTTGGCTCTGACGTGCTGATACTTAGTTAAGTTATGGAATAAGTTGCTGAAGAAGTTTGGGAGGTAGATCAGAGGAATTTGAGGTTTTAAATTAAGTTTCGCCCGCAAAAAAATAGTAAGTCCGCTTTACACTTTACAGTATATTCCCTGATAAGCGCTTTGAAACATCTTAACGACATAGATGTGTGTGAAATGCAAGTATTATTGTTATTATTGGTATTCTAAATCTCTCTGAATTCGGACAGTGACACTTGTGGGCTTGTGTTTATTGTGAGGGACAGTCCCAGGCTGGTTGGTGGTCAGTGTAAAACCTAGAGGCTGCAGTATTACCCCAGAAGGGTTTAACTGTAGCTAATCATTAACTCAGGTCAATCAAAACGACCCCAGATCTCCCCAGACACCGTCCTGCCTGTCCCTTAAAGTCTTTAGGGGATTTTTTTTTGTTTCACAGCATACAGAGATCAAAGCTTTATAGAAGCAGAAATAAAAACCGGATAAAAGCTATTAAACCTTTTGTTTGAAAAGAAACTGGATTAAATGTTCAAAGAATCTCTCTCCTTCCTCCCCTCCTCCCCGCCTCCTCGCACACACACAGATAACTGTGTAACCTATCAATCCCACATTCAATAGCCCTATGTGTCTGGGATCGGATTTCCAGACAAATTGGGTTTCGTGACAGAAAGACAACCAGCCATCAGATTTTAATCCACACCGAGCTCCGGATACACACCAGTCCCATGTGAGCAGGGCTGGCTGGCTGCTGTGTGCAAACATAGCCATGATCGCCTGTGAGAAAGGCGATAATCACTGACTCCAGTCAGCTCTATGGGTCGTCTTTCTGCTGCGATCTGAGTCCAAATAAAACTTCACTACAGCTTCAATATCCTCTCCTCCCACCCCCACCCACTCCAGGATTGCTCCTTTTTAAAATGCAGTATTTACCTAAACTAGGTTTCTGTTGGAATCCACAGAACCACTGTAACACTACACTTTGCAGAGTGCATTATATTGTTGAGAGATACCTGTTTAAGCGATTAATGGTGTACTTTGTTTTGTGGCTTTACTCCTGTGTGTGTAAGGAGGGATGGGTGAGGGGGTAGGACACAGGAAATACCCTAAAAACATCCTTAGGTAATGGGATAATTTTCACTGAATGCTTGGTGTTAGAGACAAAAGATGTCAAAGGCACCAGCCAATAAACTCAGGAAATAATAAAATAAAGGTTTGAAAAGGGTAGTGTATAGAAGCAGTCAAGGAGCTTGGTAAACATTATCCTTACCTCTCAATTCAAGGGAAAGGAGTCATTGACTTTCTACAAAACATAACCAGGGCTGAGTTGTCCGGTTTAATAGCCACACACGTACACTCAGAAAGTGGTGTATTGGGGAGGGCCAGGAGGTATGATTTCCTGATGTACAGCGTTGGGTTCTGTGAGAGTCAAGCCATCGTCGCTGATCCCTAAGACTTGCTTCTTTCAAGGCGAACAAGAGCATCTCACTGCTCCGAGCATTCAGTCCACTCACTCAGTGTAAATGGATAACTCAAGCTGCAGTTAACCACAACATTTCAGCTGTGATCCTAGTCCAAATCAAACTCTTCTCTGCAGAGAGCACTGCTCACCTGCCTCTTTACCCCTTTGATTGGAGAAAAGTTGCTGTAGAAAATGGAGAGAGAGAGAGAAAGTGAGAAAGCCTTCTGCATAATTATGGGTTAAAACTTCTTTGAAAAGAAAAGCGAGATCAGAAAGTTGGGCTCAGGTGGTGCAGGCACTACTCAGTGAGCAACTAAACCCTGCAGATCAGACCCACAAGCCTCTTTCTGGATTTCATTTATCAAACAAACGGGTCTCTAAACTGTACTGAATCTGTCTGATTTTTGATATAACAACAATAATAATCCTTGCATTTGATATAGTACCTTATCACGTCATTGAGCCGTCTCTTAGTGCTTTCCAGGATATACTGTAAAGTGGTTTTGACCGTGTGTTCAGTGGGCTAAACACTTAAGTTATACAGACACTTTGCTCCCCCCAACCACCCTGCAAATGTATGCATTCCTACTCCCTGGGGTAGGAAGGGGGGTGAGGGAAAATTAGCCAGGATTGATGCTTATGATCAATGTGAAGTCATCAGTATCAGTATCAGGAAAGTATCAGGAAAGAACAGAAACAGAGCATTTACTTCATGGCTGTTTGTGGGACATTGCTATGAGCCAATTGGCTGCTGCATTAGCTTACAAAATACACAGTTACTCCACTTTACAATAATAATTATTTTTCCTCCAGAACCAGTTTGCATTACTGGCTGAATGCTGGTTTTCTCACATTGGTCCACCAGATATACTGGCAAAAGCATTATAAAGGCAGCAGTAGTGCCAAATTGTTGCTGCTTAAGGTAACAACTTAAGGTTGTTAATATTTAAAAATAAAATATAGTGCCCTTCACTTAGGGCAGCATCGTGGAGCACTTAAAGTGGATGATAAGCTGGTGAAAGAGAAATGCAAAATTGACTTATTTTTTCTGCTCAAAACTTTGGGGATAACTAAGTGTATCTTATTTGGGTTCTGATCGTTTTTCAGTACCTTCTTCTCATATCAATCTAATACTGGGTCTCTTCAGGCAAACTTGAAACCTATAATTACAGGAAACTAAACACTTGCATCACTTAATAACGGTTAATGAGTTTTTTTTCTTGAAATGACTGAAATTAGATCTTTTGAGAGATCTTAAATTATCAATGACCAATTTATATCTTCAGGATGGATTTGTGATCCACCTCTATCAATCAGGAAAGATTAGACCTCCAGATTCAGTGATCATGCATCAGTCACGTCTTAAACGTGGATTCAGGTCACTGCAACACCGCAAAGACAAACAACAAAAAAATTATCACTTTAAACACTGCTATTCTTGGAGGTAACTCCAAGCCCAATCTCCTGCTAATGGGGTAGTCTGATCTTCCAAATGAAAAGAGATACAGTAGTGTATAACAAAATCACAGTTAGTGTGTGCATGCTAATGTATGCTTTGTGCTGAACAAAGTAATGCAGCCACCACTACACAAATAGTGTTCCATTCTCTAACATGGTTCAAAGTAGCTTTCTCTTTGTTTCAATGGTCCCTATAATTATTGCGAGAGCCGTAAACATTGATGTCCTGGGTTTAAAACCTTGTGATTAGTTGCTGTGAAAAGCTCAGTGATTTTATTAGATTTGTAGCAAAGTCACCCAGACCTGGCAAGTCCCAGGTTTCATCCCTACTCTGTACCGAGTTGGCTGATCTCAGCCAGGGCACTATTAATGGTACCAATTGAGGTCCCATTAATGGTGCAACAGTTGCCAGTGATGGCATTACAATTGAGCTTAGTGCACTGTGTTAGAAGGGTAAAAGGAGCCACGGTTCCCTCTTCTGATCGCTATCCAGAGACTCCTGGTAGACGTGCATGACATGGTAAGGATTAGTTCTGATGCCCTCATATCTGCAGAAGGAATGATAAGCAAGCCGATAGGTTTTTCTGCCAGGGCTTATTGTCAAGGCTCATTCCTGATAATGAGCTCCTCGGTGAAAAATTTGATGAGAAAAATAAAGTTGTGGTTACCCTTTGGCAACTAGGAACAAATTAATGTGGCTTGGATGCAATCCCTTTGACAATTATTCATCTGGCAGGGATAAAAAGGCTTAATGGGCATTGTTTGTCTCTCTAATTTTAATAACTCATTTGATTTTCAGTCTCATTTAAGAAAGCAAGATGTTGGACTGAAAAGTCACCTACAGCATTTGGACCGACAAATCAGTGAACTTAAACTGGATGTCAGCAAAGCTTCCTCAGACCAGCTGGAAAGTGACAGTAGACCCAGTTCAGGTAATGGATTTTGGTATTATATCCACTTTTACTAAAGGGTTGCCTCCACAGTCAAGCTTCCCTCCCGATCTGTACGGATCCATATGTCATTGGACTACAATTTACTTTTGCATCGGGAGGATGTCTTAAAGTGTTTAACACTGTTGGCACCTGAGCTGGGGAGAGGGTGGGGGAGGTGGGGTGGGGTTGGTGAGGAGGCATAAGATGAAATAGAAGGCTGGTCAATGTGATAAGTCTATGAGACAGACCAGGAACAAGTTGAGGGAGGGAGCGAGCTGGAGAGACTCTGGGATGGATTTCCAGAGAGCAGGGACAGAATGGCCGAAAGCTCTAGCTGATGATGATCGGACAGATAGGGCTGGGTACACGAAGCCGGCAATGTTTGTTAAGCGAAGGGGGTTGCATGTAATGCGATTCCCTCCATTTCTTTTATAAACTCACTGTGTAAAACAGCTTCAGATCTCCCAAGACCTACCGGTCTCAGGGTCAGATCTCCCGATGCCTCTGTGTGCAGCAGATTAGAACCGATAGGGAAAAGCCGCTGAGTTAGTGATCGCTCCCTGAGGCGTTTCACACATGCATGATTGATTTCATGTCATCGCTTATGCTTCGCCTTGACTTCAAGCTTTTTGCACATGTGTGAACCTAACTGGCATTAGAATCTGTTGTGATCTTTGCTAGCCAAACAATAGAAGTGGATTGAATCATGCTACTTGTGCAGATGCCCAGAGGCTGTGTAAAAGCGGTGAGGGCTCACAATGCAGCAACACCCACTGTTTGGTGCCAAGTTATCAAGTCTCGAAAGCCTTTATCTTGTTAGCCTGTATGGAGATTTCAGCCAGGGCACTATTAATGGTACCAATTGAGGTCCCATTAATGGTGCGACAGTTGCTAGTGATGGCATTACAATTGAGCTTAGATATGCACACAGAGATTGTAAAATGGAAGTAATGAGTGCATTGGGCAAACCACTGTGCAAGAGTGTGTGAACATGCACACAGGCAGAGGTTTCTCTGATGCCCTGGGTGCTGTGAATCCACCTCACAGTATGAGTAGGTTGAGTTCTGAAGCCTTGGGTGTTTCTTCCAGTTGAAGTATTTCTACAACATAAACATGGATTAATCTACCCTCCCCGGACAGATTCTCAAATTATTTTCCCCTTCACTAACCCAAAGTAGCCTTGATTTTTTGTTGGAAAAATTAACATAATCCAAATGACATAGGCTTTATTGTGTGCAGATGATGTATATGAGCATTTGCAGTTATTTGAAAGGTCATGTTAATGTGCAACACAACACAGTGTAAAGTTGATCTATAAATACACACAAGTCCAAATCCTCTTTTGAAAGCTGAAATTTGGTGTTGAATTGCTGGTCCATCGATTTGGCACTGGTAGAAGCAAAACTATAAAATAAATTTTACTTTAAAGTGGAAGGGTAGTCACTCCCACAGATCTTTTAAATTGATTCTATTATGTTACTCCTACTCCCCGACAATACATTTGACATAAGGAATGGAAATGTTTCCATGGCAGATATGCACACAACATTTTGAGCTAAGGAAGATCTCCCAATTTGGAGCCCAAAAACATTCTCAGTGTGTTTTGTGTTCCCAAACACATTCGCATTGCGAAACCTGTTCAGTATCTAATGAATTATTATTGTGCACAGACCCAGAAGACCCTTGGTACAAGTCTATCTGTGCTGCCTTAGCTGATCTCAGTTGGGGATCTTAACTTTTTCTCAGCTCTGTTCTGTGATTATTCATGAATACAGGCTATTTGGGCAAGGTACAGGAGGGGAAACCATATCCTAGTAGAAGGTAAAATGAAGGAAATGAGTTCAGGAGACAAATAAGGTGGGAGAGAAAATTGGAGATGTAAAATTTCCCTTATTGTGGCAAGCGACTTCCAGGATGGTAGAAGGCGAACCAGGTGGACCTTAGTTTTTTTCATTTAGCAATTCCTATGCTGTTCTTAAAATCAGCAGAATAAAAACAAAATAAAAACAGCTAATAATATAAAATAGGAATACTGCCTGGTGAGTGCTGCAGGTTTAATTTACTTAAATGTAACATTACTTTAGTGTGTAACTACTAATGCCTTAAAATGCTTAGAGTGCATCTGTTTGTACTTTCTTAATGTGATCCTTTTGATTTGCAGGGTTTTATGATCTCAGTGATGGGGGGTCTTGTTCCCTGTCAAACTCCTGTACGTCTGTGTACAGTGAATGCATGTCCTCCTCGCAGAGCAGCTTGCTCTGTTGTACCCAGCAACCTGAGGCCGAGCTCAGCAAGTCAGACTACAGACCTCGATCTGCTGATGAAACTATGGTACAGGCAACAGATTTCAGGCGCCGTGGGGTATTTATCCGACCTGGACGAGGGATCCGCACCACTATCGAACCTGTTTCGCTCATGGCCAAGAAGTCAGGAGTCCTCAGACAGAGACCCGTTTCTACAGGTAGTGTTACAATATAATGCAAATCGCATTTACATAGCGCCTTTCACATCGAGAGGATTCTTCACACAGCTGCTGGGCATCCAAGTGGGACTGGGGAGTGGGAACTGGACATTGGCTTTATAACCTTCTGCTCAGGATTTATATGCCATGTCACAAATGTTATAGATTTTGTGGGAAATTATTCCTGATGGCGAATGCCTTAAATTTGCACTCGATTCAGAAGTCGAATGAGTACCAAGATTGTTGATGCATTTAAGGGGAGAATAAACCACAGACACTAGATTCCTGAGGGAGCTGCTTACAAATATTATGGTTTTCAAATATATATTTAATCGGAGTTCTAGGGTCTTGTAGATTGGGATCCAGGGCTTTATCTCCACCTAAGGAGAGTTTTCCCATGGTTATATTGGCTCTAATCGCATATAATATAATCGAGGTCCTGACTTATGCTTAAAATAGAAGCTATTGTGATTTACGGAAAAATGTTTAATTTCTATTGGACCTTATCATGTGGCAACGTCTCAGAGTATCTTCTGTGAAGTGCAGTGACTTTGATAATGTCCGAATGCACAAAATGTTAGTCTAGTCTTGCAGAGAAAATTAAGGACATCTCTTCAGATAATAGTCTGAATCATGATTCCCATCACTGTGATGTTTCTGTCTTCTTCTGTAATACAGGCGACTTAGAGAGAATCCGACCAACAAGCCGGGGTTTTCCAAGTGCCTCTGATTTGAAACAACTTTCTTCCATGTGCACTGCTGATCATCTGCGGCTCAGACTTGCAAACCAAAGGTATCGATGTGATCTAGTTTCTAAGAATAGCAGCGATGTTTACAACTACCCTAGTCCCCTTCATGCCGTGGCTCTTCAGAGTCCCTTGTTTTCACTGACTGGAGAGGCTCCTGGTTTCAGCAACAGAAAAATCCTAGCGAGTGAATCACTGACGAGCACCACACCATTCAATCCAGTGATGTCATGGCCACCAGTACTTGAAACCACATTTGGTCACAAACCTAAACTATCCCAACAGAGTACTGCAGGTGAAATCCGCACGACTGCTGTCCATGGAGATTTTGAACTGAATCAACAAACTGCGGCACAGAAAAGTGACATCTCACAAAGCTTCAATGGGATGAAAAATAACTCGAACCATAAAGCAATGGTGCAAACTGTGGCTGAACAACAAGACAGCAATGATGGTCACTACAAAGACTTGGGACTTTCAGCATATGTTGCTGTCAGGCTGCAGGAGGCTGGTCATGGCTCTATAAAGCAGTTGAGGGAGGACTCGGAAGCTTCCATTGGGGTCCAAATTGTTTCCAAATTGGACATGAAGGACTTGTCAAAGGCTAAATGTATCAGTGGTTCAGTCGCATGCTCAGATGTACCAGTGCAAACTAATCCAAAAGAGACAGCTCACTACAATCCTATTCCCAAGGCAGAAATGTCCCAGCCGACCAGCCAAATATCCAGCGAGGCTAAGAAAGCTGGAGAGGCTTTGCCTAAAAGCGACTTTGTGCATGCTCAGTTTGTGCCAGCAAAATCGCAGCAACGAGTGAAAGTCAGGCAAGCCAATAGAAAGACAAAGGTTGTGAAAATAAAGAGGAGGAGCAGTGAGAGAGGGCGAGCTGTGAAACAGGGGCCTATTGAAAAGCTTAGAGACACTGGTGAAGGACCTGGAATACCCATTGATGTGGATCTTCATCATAAGAAGCAAAGAGGAAGAGCTGCTGCAGCGTTCACCAGCCCAGGCTCCGAAACCACGGGCAGGTCATGTTCAGAGTCAATTCTTTACCCTGTCTGCTACGGACCACAGCAGTTGACTCACAGACCTGAGACTCAGAAGTCAGCAGTCCCTGGGCTTCATGTGTCCAATGCCAAGGGCTTGATGGAAGGAATGAAGAAGAAACAGCGCAAATGGCAATCTTCTGTTGAGATCTTCACCAGGGTCCCAATTGGACACTTGTGTTATGGCACTGGGGGAGCTGTTTCGCAACATAAGCAACAGATGGGAAAAGCTGAGAGGGGTCAGAATGTCAGCTACAGGTCACGGACATTTGAGAACCACTTCAGTGTCTACTCCTACGCAAGGAGCGAGTCCGACCAATCCGAGTACTCTGCTGAATGTGCGTCGCTCTTTCACTCGACCATCGTAGAGACCAGTGAGGATGACGAGAGTGACCACACCACCAACTGCTTTGGCGATGGTGAGTTGAGTGGGGGGAGCGTGTCAGACACTGCCAGCAACAGCAGCCTCAGCCTCGACGATGATGATCCGGCTCTCGTTTGGCCTCAGGGTTTGGTAGCAGCCAATGAACCAACTTCGTCCTCTTGCCAGCCTCGACATTCCGAGGCTCAGGTTTGTCGTATCAAGGCATCGAAAGCACTGAAGAAAAAGATCAGGAGATTCCAGCCTGACTCTTTAAAGATTATGACCATGGTTTAGTGAGAATTAACCATTCTGTACCTTGTCATGCTGGGTCCTGTTGTTCTAAGAAACAAAAGAAATTACCTTTGAAGAAAAGTGACATTCATTGGTGAACTGTCAATGACCCTATTGCATGTGCAGGGGGTACTTTACAAATACCTAAATGCATTACATTTTCTCTTAACTTTTTCTGATGTATTTTTACTCGAAAGCTGTGTTGTGTATAGTAACCCATTTTCGTATTGCTGACTGACTGCTGAAAACATTGTGTGGAAATAAGAATAAAAATGGTACAATCTGAGATCGGGGTTGAGTTCCTTCAGTCCAGTGTTCATGGGGCAATGAATGAAGCTGTGTTGCAACAGATCAAACCAGTATTGTCATGCATACTAGGTGTCGGATGACAAATACTTGACAATTTACTTCAATTGACTTGGGCCTCGTGGAAGCTCCTGAGGGACAAACCAGAGATAACCTGTAATTAAAATGCAAAAATAATTTGCATCATTTAAAATCGTTCCCTCTCTTCTCCCTTGTTTTCCACCCAAAAGGCTTTTCTACTCAATGTTGAGGCACTACTTCGTGGACAATAATCACCTCTGAGTACCTCACCCAAGTGACTGTTATTCATGTGTCAATCTGTCTGATGAGTATTGATTGGCTATTTGACTATCAAGGACAGTGAGGTCAAAAATGCAACATTTGCATTTGAGACTTCCCATCTGTGAATATCAGATGGCAAGATTCACAAATGGCACATCATGAACACCAAAGGGTTAAAACCCAAAGGTAGGTTGATGAGCAAAATGACTAGTGTTCAGGCTTTGCTGGTTTGGGATCTGTGATTCACCATTTGAGCAGCAGTAAGTGTGGTAACATTAGCCTTATTATCCACCTCAGCTGCCCTCCCCCACCAGTCCCACCAATTTTTTTTTAAACAATTTTTGCTAGAAAGTGCATAAGTGGACTTTTGACAAAGAACAGTATCAGTTTTAGATCTGGTACAGGTCATATAGGCTGCTGACACTCACTGCTTGGACTCACAAATGAAGAATGATCTCTTGGGTACGCTATTGAGGAGTACCAAGAAATGCTGAAACCATGTATTTTCATGAGACTTTAAACCAAGAATTGTCTGCCTGTTCTGGTGGTTCATGTAGATGTTAAAGATCGCATGGCAGCCCTTTCACCCACAATGGTTCAGCGAGTAAAAGCATCAGTCATTGCAAAACAAAGCCATAGAGACCAGAAGGGTCACAGGTTCATATCCTGGTCTGGCTGTGTTAAAAGCTGGTACGTGGGACAGCATTTGGGATGCTACACTTGCCCTCAATGGCCCTGTGTTAGGAAAGGGAAAATCACCCAGGCTTTCCACTCCTGATCAATCCCTGCTGGAAGGTATGAGAGTAAGGATACCAGGTGAGGACAAGTCCAGTTTGACTCTGATATCTCCTTCAATTGGATAGCATGCCGACATGTAAATAATGGCCATGTGAATGATCTGAGCTCATAGACTCGTTCCTCGGTAGAAGGAAAAAGAAGTCAAAGCAAATTCAAGAGAGGGAAAAAAATGGAGGAATATTGATGGGGGGGAAAAAAGGAATCCTACAATGTTATTGTGAATATCGGAGACTGTTCCTCGCCAATTATTCATCCCTGCCTCAGCCAAATTCACTGAACAATAGTTTACATTTTTTTCATTCATTTCCTTGATATGTGTGGGAGATGATGGCACAAGTTAACCTGTATGTGTGAAGCACTTTGTATAATAAGGTGCTAAATCAAATGCAAGTGTTATTATTATCCTAACATTGTCTTCAGAACAGATGGGAAAGAATCAATAGGAAAATCCTTGCACCAGTGACTTCCCATAGAAACCACCCACTTTTAGCAAGTAGCATTGAAACTGTTTAGGTTCTTGTGATACCTTCACTACCAGCAGTGATAATAAAGCTAATATGTGACTTGAGCTTCCAGGTAGAGACTTGCATCACACAACTCATTCCAGAGCATGCTTCAAGTTCATAATGTAATTGAACACGGCACCATTGACACTGCATTTGCAAAGCATTCACTTACAGCTGTGGCTCATAGTGCACATAGAAGTCTTTCACGCTTGTCAAAGAACTGGCCATAAAGAAATGTCATTGTATGATACAGAGCCTATTCACTCTTATGGAGCTATAATGAAATACTATACGCAAGCAAAGCTATTCTGTTATCACTTTGTTCATGGAAATTAAAATAAAGTAATACTACATTCTAGTTTGCAGCTGAAATTAGGCACAATGGTGCTCAAACGTCCAGTATTCGGTAATTTTGTTGTAGATTTATTACAGGCTGCGATGTTACCACTGACAGAAATCCAACACTTGCCTTAATTATTATCATTAAACATTCAGAAAGGTTCAATAAAGTCTGTTCCCCTCCATCTTTCTTCCAGTTAGTGATTCACTTCCTGTAGAAAATTTATAGTATGACATTTAGTGGCCAATCTTCAGGATCTTGTCACACAGCCAGTTGTCGTTGTCACCCTGGATAGTGAACGTCACCAGAATTTTGCATTATGCAGTTTGTTCAAAGTACTGTCCGCTAAAAAGACGGGAATATTAGCCTTTGGAAAATTTTGACTTAAGTGTTTTTAAAATACCCCATTTCCTTATCAGCATATCGACTGTGCAGTTGGTTCTCACTGTCTGCGATGCTGCTCTGGTGACTTTATTGAGAGGGAATGCGCATATGCATCTCAGGAGAGACTTCCACAGGAAATGGTGTGGGTACAACCTCAAACTGGCCTGAGCCATGGGAAACTAACTTATCTTTATCCCAAGTATCCTGGTTTTCCAGAATGCCAATCTCAGCCCATTTTACAACCAAACATTGTCAGATTCTCTAAATTTAGTGCAAGAGGAATATCAAACCAGTTATTCAACAACAACAACTTGGAGTTATATAGCGCCCTCCACTCTGGATGGCGTCTCAGAGCACTTCACAGTAACGGATCCCGGGGCTGAGCCAGGGGAGGGTAAGGAAGGTGACCAAAGGCGCGGTCGAAAAGAAAGGTCTTCAGCAGAGACCTGAAAATAGGAAGAGAGGGGGTGAGGCGAAGGGAGTGAGGAAGGGAGTTCCAGAGCCTTGGGGCGTAGTGGCTGAAGATCGTTTCTCAGCTCATATGTCATGCATCGTTTTGGAATCTAGCTGGTAAAGCCAGTAACAAAAACAACTTGAGTTATACAGTGCCCTTCACCCAGGATAGAGTCTCTCACCCCTCCATAGTGGTAGAGGTCGGATGTTGCGCAAGGGAAAAAGGGGAGCAGGTGACCATAGATGCGACCAAAGTGGCTGGTCTTAAGGTGGGATTTAAAGGTAGATAAAAGAAGGTGCGAAGCAGAGGAGCTTCAGAGGTAAGGAGCATAGTGACTGAAGGCAGATCCACTGACAATGATGCAGAGGGGTCGGGGAGATAGATGAGTGGCAGGGATGAAGGGATTTGTATGTGAGGGACAGAATCTTGAAATCGATCCTTTTAGCTCTGTTCCTGGCTCCTAGGATGTCCATGAGAACAACCTAGAATGTCCATCTCTCTGATTGTCACTCGATCACCTCTCAAAGGAAATCCCAACACCTTGAGACTGCAAATTCACCATATTCAAAATGAAGGTTGATGAAATAGTGATGATAGGAGATAAACTCAGGATTGTCCCTGAAAGACTGAAGGTGATATTTGGAATTGTTTCTACAGAGGGATACTAACTATATGTGACACACTTTGCTGAAGTTCCACCTTGGTACCCAGATACAAAATACTAAATGTAATATCTCAGATTTTACATTAACATTATCTAATCTCCTTAAAGACATGAGGCCAATTGAATCTACCACCATATCACAGTGATATTGACCTATTTGTGGAGTCCTTTAGCATATTGGTTAGATCACTCACCTTCCAAACGAGATAACCTGGGTTTGATTCCTAGGCAGGGCAAAACCTTACTCCACACGCCTCTGTTTACCTAGCAGTAAGTGGGAACCCGGTTGTTAGTCAATTGGCAGATCGTTTTTCCGGGGGTATTAATTCCTTCAAAAGCAAAATAAAAATGAAAAATACATATATATTTGGTCACTCAATCTATGACTGTTTGTGGGACACTGCTGTGCACTATTGGCTTCCGCGTTTTTCCACAAAATATACACTTTTCAGTATATTCTGTTTCAATTCACTTTTTTGCAATATATTCTGTTTTAATTCACTTTACAATATATTCTGTTTTAACTCACTTTACAGTATATTCTGTGAAGCACTTTGAGACGTTGAGACGTCTTGAAAACATGATAAATCACTATATCAAATACATGGATTATTATTATTATTGACTATCGATTACAAATTTCTGACGTCTGAAGGCCCTGGACAGTCAAGCATTTGCACCCCGACCTTGGGGTTGGATTCAAGAAGGATAAAATATTTTGGAGAAGTAAGAAGTGGAACCATGAAAGATTTGTGTCATAGAGTGGGTTGAAGGAAAGATATAATAAGCAAAAATGGAATGATTAAAGATGTCCCATCTCTTCTTGAAGGACCGCTATCTGACTCTCCCTCGATGTCCTGGCCGATAATCTCACAGATAAAATTGATCATTTAGTTCAGGTCTGTTCATGGGATATTGTTGTGTACAAAATGACTGCTGTGTTCATCTGCCTCATTCTTGCCCACCAGCCCCACCTCCTTGCCCTCCACCCCTCTTGAATCTAACCCCCAACTCGTGTACTTGACCGTCCAGCGCCTTGGAATGTCCTCCCACCATGAAAGGAACTATATAAATGCAATTTGTTATTGTACAAAACCCACAGTCACTGCATTTTACAATAAAAAGCTATGAAACTCTTTGAGACATCATGATGACGTGTTGAGAGATTATGATGACGTGATAAGGTATTGTATCAAGTGTAGGATTAAAAGCTATACTAGAGAGTCTGGGAATGGCGGCAGAGGTGGGAAAGCAATTGGGTGGCAATGACATGTTCTAACATTTTACAAAGAAAGGGCAATTTGGAGATAGGGCACTCGTTTAAGACACTAAATAAACGGAAGATAGCTTTTTTTTAATGACGGAATTCCTGTAAACACACTCGTACATTCTCCCCAGTAGATGCATGCTGCGAAATGAAAAGGGTTTGGTTCTAGCCTGGCAGCCTTCCCACAATATTCCAGTCACTGAAAGGTACAAATTTTGGCATAGCCTAAAAAAAGTCTGTCTTTCTTAATTGTTCCCTTTGATCACTCTTTTAATTTAGTGCAGA